TTTTTCTTTCCATTAGACATCTCAAAACTATAAACATAACCTGTGGTTGACTCAGCTAGAACCCATACTTTGTACCCTCTCTTAGCTGGTTTTAATGGCAGATACTGTTTTATTGAAGATCTGCCTTTGAATTTTACCATGAACTCATCAATAGATAAACAGAATCCTAGAGAATAATTTTTCTGGAAATTTCTTTTCAACATAGTCAGAAAATCACTAACTTTATGTTGTTTATTCTCAGTAGAAAGGTTCGATGAAAACTTTGTATTAGTAGCAAGATGAATGTTGGAAAAAATTCGTTGAAATTCAGCCCTTGTCATTACATTGGCGACAGTTGGTGTAAAAAGATTCCGATCATTACTCCAATAATCACGAATTCGTGGTAATTTGTGAAAACCCATGATAAGTAAGATTCCCATAAATGAATAAATTTGGGTTGAATCGATTTCCGTCCAATCTGTTGTATTTTTACCTTTTTCAACACAACGCTGCTGTCCATAAACGTTCGTTTGATTAACAATTAATTTCATAATGTCTTGAGATATATATTCATTGAATGCATCGATGGGTCGAACGATATTGTTTCCCAATGCACTTCCATCAGAATAATTAAAAGAACTTGTAAACATAGTATTCGCAGTATCCCATTTCCACTCATCAATTAAAACTTGATTCAGCTCGTCGGTCAATGAGTTATCACCATCCGAGTATAGGATTGTTCGACCTGGGAAGTAGTAATACTACTATCGTCATCAGATGAATTTTCCTCGAAAAAATCAAAATCCATGATGCTAAACGTAATGAAATGTTTTGATCAACAATCAACGTTATGTATATACAATTATCACTCAACTACATTGATGGCAGAAGGAAATCATCCAATAAATTATCTCTACATTCTCTGAAATATAGGGGTCGCTCAGCGACTATATAATTTTTGTGAGTAAGGTTACTGTGATATAATTGGTAAAAACACAACATTTGACAAATATCAATTGTTAAATGAAAATATTGTAAACTAGTACCGCTCGTCGAAGCAGACTCCCTGTGCCCTCGACTGAACCACTGACTGAAAATAAAATAGTCTTATGTGCGTTTTATGCAAAAAAAGACATTTATATAACCTTTGAAAGGGTCCCCAGAAACTGATCTTCATTCGCCTCACAGTCTTCAAAAGAGTCAAAGGACTAATTGTGCTGCTTTTAGTTATTCTATATTCCTGACTGACAGTCACTCTTCACAGGAAGCAGAAGTTCGCTATAAATGACTATTATGAATTTGCACCTTTAAACATGTCCTCCTTTTTCTAAAAGAAAGATAATTTCGGTAAAAACAAATGAGACTCTATATTTCGCATTCGAACGTGTCGGATTGTTGATACTTTGGTAACTGGTTAGATTACCAGGCACAGCTCGTTGTTCGTCGGTGCCCCACAGGGACGCTACTCACAACTCGCCGCTCCAAAGCTGCCCCTCTCTATCATATAATCACCCGTGTGCTACTAAAAAGTATCGAAAGTTAATTAGCATTCCATGAGCATCTCGCGGATGAGATTATCAGCGTCCGAACATCTGAAGTTGTCTCCTTGTTAAAAAGCTTGAAGACCTACGAAAACTTTCAATATATTAAGGCTCAGCATTTAAGATTGCTCTCCAGTATGTAACTTGTGAATGAATGTCTTTTTGGATTACTGGCCTTTAGTATGCGACAGTCAACCGAGTGTGTTTTTACTTTTTCGTAATCAACTCTTCTATGTAGCCCTCCTCTCAGGCGCGATTGAAATGTTTTCTTCATTTCTGTCACGTCCCTGTCCCTCCGCCCGTCATCCAGGCAACCTAGAGCCTCAGGATCCCTCCCAAACGGTGTTTCATGAAGTTTTGAGCCTTTTCCAAGAAAATGTTTTTTTGACCTTTGACCTCTGACCCTGACACAAACAGACAAACTATTTTTTTCGTATGACCCTTCTTTCAGTCGAAGAAATTTAAAGAACAAATCGCTCTACACTTTTCAATATATGCCAATTCATATAGGTATCAACTTATGCAAACATAAAAATTAATGTTATGCCCAAAAACTCTTGAAACTATTTCAGTTTTACTAAAAAAAAATGAACTTTTTTTTATAGGTGGGACATATACGTGTATGTCCCACTGGGATTCAAAGGGTTAAAGCAATATATAAATCTTGCATCCTATAAATGAAGATTCGTAGATACTTCCTTGAGTGCTGGCACTATAGGTGCATGATTTGAGTCTATGTGGTAGGCGAGAACGAAACATTATGTTGAATACCTCTCCAAAGACAAAGTTATTTAACTTCCGAAATGTAGGCGAACATATTTCCTAAACATTCAATGTATCTTATCATTAAATATTAAATATAATCTCCTTCGGTCGAGCGCATCAGTAAGAAATCAATGCATCAATAGTGCATTATCACCTCTCTAACATAGTTCTAGGGCGGTTGGAGGGGCTCGTGTGGTAGGTTTCCTTTATAAAAATCTAAGTAACGTATCCGTCCCAAACGACACAACTTTCTTTCCTAAAAGATTTGAGAAAAAGCTTTTTTGACGTTTGATCCTTGACCTGTGACACGCATTCACACGCACACAAACGAATTTGAATTTTCTGACCACTTTTTTCGGCATGACCCTCAGTGCATTCGAGAGAAAAAAAAACATTATTTTTTCATTTATTACGACCGAATTCATCATTTTGGGTGTGTTGAAGTACTTTATTCTTTTAATGTCATATCTCAAGTGTGTCATCCTATATATAGAGCGAATGACGCATTTTGAATCGCTAATGCATAAGTTCAATGAATTAGATGAGGAATTAACACATTAAAAAATAAGGCAAAAATTGAATATGTTAGATACTTGGAAAGTGTCTTTTTAATTATCGAAAAGATCGAAAATAAGATTGTATTGCTAAATACAAATTCATTATGAATGGAATGATGAAATCTGAATTTAAGAATTTTATGCAAATGAAATATCGGTTTAGTGGAAAATCGACAATAGGAATTTGGACAACGGAATTTGGACAATCTTGCAGATTTGAAAAACTGCATAGGCTTTCCTAGGAGTATTTCGGTACAAATTTTCATGTAGTATCCTACTGCCCGGACCTATCCACACCCTCACATCCTCATATGCACCCTCACCCTATCTCTAGGCAGTTTTTTAAATCCAACAATATTGTCCAAATTCCGTTGTCCAAATTCCTATTGTCGATTTTCCGTTTTACCGAAATATTTACTTTTTTCTATGACGTATGAGATCTGTTTTAGATAGTCATGTGAAAAAAGTTTTAAAAATATATTAAATTATATATGCATCGAAAGACGATAACAATTTGCATGACTATAGTGTTTTTTTTTCAAAGATTTATTACTAATTTGATGCATCAGTTTCTCCCATTAAATTTTTTTAAGATTATCTCGTTTTTTCCATTGCACCAATCAAGTTCGCTTTCCTTTGAAGTACAAAACACATATATAAAAGAACAAAATAAACTGCATCATACCCATCGTGAATATTATCACAAATATAAAATTAAGAACTAGTTTATTGATTATTATATATTTGATTATTTTACTTTATTAAAATGTCAGATTCTTTGGCAAATTTCTATCAAACTTTAAATGCAATCACCATGTGGACAAGTCGTATCATTCCAATTTTTCAGATAGTCTTTGGAACCTTTGGAAATATCTGCAATATTATTATATTTACTCGCCCAGCATTACGTACTAATCCATGTTCAATGTACTTTTTAGCTGGGTCAATCAATAATACCATTGCAATTTATTTCACAATATTTGTACGTTATATGATAGAAGCTTGGAATTTAGATATAACTCTTACCAGTGTTTTTATATGTAAAGTACGTCAATATTTGTCATCTACTGCTATGGCTCTTTGTTCATGGTTTATCGTATTGGCCAGTATCGATCGATTCCTATCGAGTTCAAAAAGCGTACGGCTTCGTCGATTGAGTAGTGTATCCATAGCTCGAAAAGTTATTATACTCACTATTATAATCATGTTAGCCCTTTATTCAACGGTATTGATTATTTATGAGATTGCTGTAACTTATGGACAAAGGGTTTGTACTATAACATCAATCAATTATTTTATTTATTACACTGTTGAACCGTTCATTATGGGTGTTATACCAGTCATATTACAGAGCATCTTTGGCGCTTTAATAGTTCTCAATGTCCGCAGTATGCACAATCGTGTCGTTCCTATAGCAGACAATGCACGAAATGAACGACAGCGTTCAAATGATCGTCAATTAGTTAAAATGCATTTAATACAAGTATTGATTGCTATTCTTCTCTTAAGCCCTTATGCTATACAAGTTACGTACTATTCAATTACTGTAACTATGCTAAAGCGACCGTTACCAATGTTTGACCAGGCTATCTTTGTTTTCACATTGAATTTAGAGCGATTTTTTGCCACTACCAATCCTGTTATCAGTTTTTATCTTTATACTTTGACAGGGCCTAAGTTTCGTAGTGAATTCAAACGCTGTATTCAAAATGGATTACAAGTTACTCTTACAGCAACTGACTTAATACGATATGTACCGATAAGAGTTCAACCAATAGTACAAGGTGGAAATCAAACAAATACTACTACCAGTCAACCTAAAAGAACTGGAAGAGGAAATAATGTTCAACCTATTCAACGGCAATAATTAGTGTTGAAAATGATTGCTGTACATATAAATAAAACAAATTCTTTTTACATTAACTGTTGACTACATATTGTTCTTTATTAGTTAGACGGCCAGCGCGTGGATTGGAATTTATTCACACGCTTGCCCTTATACTCTCTATCTAAACCGTGACTGGACAAACATTATGCAATTAACAAATTTATTTCGTACTGGAAGTTGAACGTACTGCTCTTTTTCATATTGTACTGTGTAGTTGTATTGAGTACGATTGTACTTAAATAAAAAGTGCTGGGTACTGGTACTGTAGTGTACTTTGTACGTAGTACTTGTTAATAATGCAATAATTGCCTTTGAAGCTAATTCTGCCTAAAGGCATTTCAAAACTTCATACTTCAGTGAAGTCTACAAGATCAACTGTGAGTCTCTTGTATCGGGGGATGTGATGAGAGATTAAGAGAATGGATGTGGATGAGATGATAAGGGTGTTTTATTGGATGAAATCGAATAAAACACTAAAGAAAACGATAACAAAAGACTGGTCGAAAATAGAAAAACCACAACATATATACAGATCGAAGATGATCTGAGAAAAAAAGAGAAAAAGAAGAAAACAAACAAGAAATGCAATCACAGGGATCATCATGAGAACGGACATAATAATCAAACGAAAACTAAAACGACAGGAAAGAAAGAGAAAAAGAAATACAAGAAAACAGCTATGTAGAAGGTAGCGTCATGAAGTAATATCCAATGATGCTAACATCAACGAAATCTGGATATTTAATCATTTTACTTAAACATCATAAGACCTGTGCTACAGAGTTTCAACGATGTCGAAAAATTCTTTGTATTCATAAATATCGAAAGTAATTACGGTGATGCCTTAATGAGAAGTTCTTATCTAGCTATTATTTATCAGTTACGTCTCATTGAGATTATTAAAATTTCGCATTTCACTAAAGGAAACCATTGAGTTTTTTTCCATATTAAGTATTTTAATGGGCTTATGCATAACTATCCTTCATACATGTGTAAAAGAAACAAATACAAATAGAATGGATAAAGATTCGCCTATTCATGTAATCAAGCCTGCTTTCTTCGCTAAATATGATGAGACAGATGATTTTAGCACGCACCAAGTATAAATGCGCTCCAGTACTAGTACATAGTACGATTGTACTTAAACATTATACTAAGTATTCAATCACTGGTTCGAATTGAATCAAAGAAAAAGAAGTCGTGTATTTTCAAACATGAAGAATATTCCGAAAGATTTTATGTTTTTTCTACTCTGATAATCAAATAGCTAAAGACAAGTGATGGGGCCTAGTAGCCGCTAAGCCCTCTACTGAAAGGATAGTATTAGAACGCTACTATTCGTCCAAAGAGACAAAAAGGTTATTTCAATTGAACGATCTGATCGTTTGATAACTTGTCAGAATGTTTTATTTAGATCAATTTCGCTTCGTGAAATCTTCTGAAATTATAACGCCTAGTCGTCTGTCGGCCTCTCTCTGGTCGATCCCTCACCACTAGCCGTTGATATCTAATAAGTATTTAATGAGATTCTCATATTAAAAAGTAACTCATTGTTGTTGAGTCCGGATCTAACAAAGTTGCCGAAATTCTTCACAAATTTGTGACCTACAGTATATCTTTTATTGTCACTTATAGTTGAATAAGTTGGTTGTTAGCGTCATCATTCGATGACGCTAACTATGTTATAGGCTTTTCCTTTTTCTTTTCTTTCATTTCTTCCATTAGTCATCTTTCCATTCCTTACATATATAGTTTTTCGTTTCTGTGATATATGGAATTAATTGAATTAGTTCGATTGTAATCAGATTGAAAAACCAAAATGAGCATCATCTGGAACAACGAATAAAATCACTGACAAAAACTAAATCTAACCAGTTGTCGCGACAGTTTGAGTATTGAAGTGGAAACCACAATTTTTATCCTAATAAACCAAGATTTACTTGCTTTTCAAATAGAAAAACAATGCAATGGAAATTCATCTCGTGTTGCTGAACTCCAAAGACTCTGAAATAGTAGAACTGAACTTGTTTCAGCCTCAAAAGCTGAAAATGAGATGAGAACAAGAAGAGAATACGATGTATTTTATTTGTAAGTTAAAACCTTTTTTTATTTCAAAGAGAAAACCAACAAATGGAAGTCTTTTTTTACTCATTGACAAACTAAATCAAATCTTTCCATTCGTGAATTTCCACAATCTGCAACATAAATTAAACCGAACGCATCAACAAGTATTCCCATAGGGCCCGTTCAATTGGTTAAGTTCATTTCCTCTTGCATTTCCACCAGCAGCAGCAATTCCTTCCTTTACAACATGTATCCATTTCATGACAAAACATCTGCTGAATTATTGATAGTGATGATTAGTTTTTTTTTCATGTGTTCATTGCAGAGGAAAAAGCTCAATGAAATCCATTAAATAGCGAACTATTTAATCAAAAGGTATCTTCTTTGAGAAGCTACAGCGCGTATACGCAGCCTATATCACTCAGTGTTTGATAACACAGGGTACATTTATCTCTTTTCACGGTCAACAATTCTTTTGCGAAGAAAAAGACGGAGTTCTTCCGTAGAACACGTGTACATACATATCGGTAGAAAAAGTTGTGCATGTTCGGATCGGCTAGCAGCTACGGTAAGTATTCATTCGTTCCATGAAAAATTATATAATGTTTTGGTTGCGTGAATCCTTATATGATTCCAATAATACGCCTAGAACTTGATGCATAAAGCAAGTGAATACCTTTTTTAATTCATACTAATAATTTTCTTGACAACATTTTTTAAACTGACCGATGCGAGATCTCCAGTATAGTTTGTTCGATGATGATATAAAACACAATGCACACCCACACTAGCATACACCAGGAGGTTACACAATTTCAGTGACATGCATATGACTCAAAGATGTGGATTATATTCGAATGGTTTCATATTTTTTTTACTCATAGCTGAGAGCCGTGACCGTGATTTACATTGTATTCAATCGGGGGTAAGGCGAGTCATGTTTGACGAGTGCTATTTATTTATATCACTAGTATTAATGGAATGACACCATCGCCGTAATCGGGTAAAGACTCATCATATATAGAGGAAGAAGAATGTTTTTGAAAACCAACCTTTCGATACAATCGAAGGGCTCGTTCATTGTGAGATTCTGTCAAAAGAAAAATAAATGGACGCCGACGTTTTCGACACCATTTGATCATTTTTGTTAATATACGTGATCCAATTCCAAAACCTTGTGCAGATTGAGAGACACCAAATAAAATCAGATACAACCCATGATTTGAACCAATATCACTAGCCAATGCACACCCAAGACATTGATCATTTTCATATGCACACCAAATATGGGTGGCACTGCCAATAGTTACACGTAAAGTTTCTTCTGTATGAGCTGGTCGAAATAATGGTAATAAAACGTTTTCTATGTCATTTACTGGGTAGTTTCGATCGCGAGAAATTCGTATAAGACGACCAGACAGTTGCTTTCCCTTTTCCGAAGACGATAGATCCATACTGTTGATTGCGTCGCTATATTCAATTGTTTTCATTTGTGTTGTGTGACAGATACACAAATAAGAAGGGCAATTTTTTTCAACATATTTCACTCATTTTAAGTTACAGTACATATTTCCACATTAGGCTAGAAACGTATGTCTAATATAGCGAGAGCGGAAGAAAAAAATATGACAGTAATTATTCATTCGTGTACAGCACTGTGCAAAGTGCCGCCTGTAACGGTAATGTAACGGGCGTCACAAAATGAATGGACCTCTCAGTATTTTGTATATTTCTCATCCATAAGTCAACATAAAAAAATATTTTGTTTACAAAATGATTCTCCATTTCGATACAGAATAGAATCCAATGCATTTGTTCAAACAGCGTAATTTTCAAACAAGAAGTTTTTAGTAGATCGTTTGAAGAGAGATGAGACAAAATAATGCAAAGTATTTAGAAAACTTTCTCTTCAGATGAGACTTTTTGCAGCGCTTGTTCTGCTGATTATTTTGCTGAAAAAAAATTGGGCCTCATTTACCAATAGCAGTGTAATAGTAGAGATACTGAGCAATATTGAAATAATGTTTCTTTTTACCAGTAAGCACAGGAAGTCGGTGGACCTATTTCCAAAGGACTATATTGTAGCGAAATAGAAGACAGTCTATTTTATAGAGGAAAGTTTGCTCAACAAAACGGTATAGTTGGATTCTCATATGCATTTGAATACTATGAATGAAGTTCAACAGATTATTGCAAAGAATATTTGTCCTGAAAGCTGGATAATATTTTTTTCCTACGAATATTATGCACAAAATCTTTTAAAGATTTATCCAACCGACTTACGAATTCAATTATATCATGTTGCAGAGCAAGCTCAGCGCTATCAAATCTTCTAATGAGGGAAGTACCGAAGTGTTCATTTGCTTTACGGCTTATATTTTGACCACAGGTAGAACTCCAGGGGACTAGTAGAAAGTCAAAAGGATTCGGGTTCAAGGCTCTGTAGTCAAAAGCTATGACCACCTCACCGTTGGTACGAAATATGTGAGCAAGAGTCAGGAAAGTTTTTCTGAAAATCCGTTGATTTGAGTAGTCACTTTTTTTGTAGTAACTATAGTAGCCTACTACAATCAACAGGCATCGTGCTTCCAATGCCCATTTGTTTTATGAATGCCAAGCCTCAATTTCGAAAAAATTGTCAAAGCAAACCTCATCTAGCGTTTTGAAGGCCCCAGGCTGTTTGCCGGCGTAGCCGCTGGCAAACCACGTGTAGCGAATTAGACCGTTGAAAACTTTAGCAGATATTTGATTGCGCGTGAGTAAAACTAGGCGAATGATATTGACCCATGTTCAAATAGCAGTTGGTCGAAAATCACGCGATCGTTTGCGCGATTTATTACTGATTTTATCTGTCGGTTGTAGAACACATCGAGCGGTTGCAATCAATCGTTAGTCTTCTGTGGGATACCGAGACGTTTGCAACCTGACACTTTCTGGCATATATCGACGTCACCTTGTGTAGGTCAGGCGTCCAAGAGAAGAAGAAGACACTTCTTGGCCGCATTCGAAGCCAGAACCATATCAATCCAGTAATCAACAAGCGACTTGATCCATTTGCCAGATTTACTACATGTTATGACGACATTTCTTGGTTAAAACGTTTTTGAGCGAACGTCTAGGAAAGTTTAAACTGAAGACTGGAAACATATGTGCAAACTCATTTTCGCTTATCCGTCCGTCGGGTTTCTTGAGACATAGGCAAATATGTTCCACTACTTCACTAGTCACTGTCAACTTTTCACCTTGATAACTCAATGTCCGAGTGGGATGCAGCTCCTTTTCCAGTCTGTCTTGATCGGTATTATCTATTTTTTGCTTTTTTGTGCCATGATCTTCCAAATATTCGTGAAAGCGACGAAGATATTATATGTGACGAACCCGTTTAAATCGATGCTGAATAGTATTTCATGTATGCTTTCGTTTTCCAGTCGTTTCGTTGATCGCGTCATAGAAGTCCACGACGTTTTTCATGCATTCCAGAGCGAATGTCGTCAAATATTTGATATAACTGGTCGACGAGTTTCTACTCATGAATGTTTCTCGAAGGATTATGCGAATCTTTCTTCGCCATGAGATCAGCGAACATGATCGTCGCAGACACGGTGTTTATCATTTTGTTTCTGCAAGCTAATGAAGAAATACGTATAGTCTAGTAGATCTACGTGTTATTCATCACATTCATTTTATTTTCATTACACAACAGAAATGAAAGACTGCGCAGATATACACCGAGCTACATGGTGTTATTCTCGAAAAAGTGACTACTCAAACCAAAGGATTTTCATAAAAACTTTTCAGGCTGTTTTTCACCTATTTAACATCAACGGTGAGGTGGTCATGGATTTTGACTACAGAGTCCTGAGCCCAAACCCTTTTGGCTTTCTACTAGTTCCATTGACGTCTACTTGTGATCAAAATATAAGCCGTAAAGCAAGTGAACACTTCGAGTAATTCTCTCGTAAGTCTACCTCCATGACTATCCTAAAACTTTCAGCATTTCTTCGTTAGTAGTTGGTTTTCATCGAAGAATTTTTGATCGTTTGCTAAGTTTATGTACTAGTTTGCGCACCATAATGCGTATAATCTCGGCAATGATAAAATGTCGATAGGATTGACTGTCTCATCTTTCATGGAGTAGAAAATCTCAAATTATTACCAGTTTTCAAAAAGAACACTTTAAAATCTTCAAATTTTTTAATACTAACTGAATATTTACCTCTATTGTGAGAGGCTCGAAAATTATAATATTATAGGAAGATTCATGTTTTCCCCAAGTTCTTTCATATATCAAATATCGGATATAATATCATGGATCGGCGTAGCAATCAACTGACTAGATATCCGATATTTTATTTTTCTTGAAGATTTTCAAGTGATAAGACTTTTGTGAATGACAAACATAGCTGAAATCGTTCAAATATCATGTCATTGTTTTCTTCTTTTATTCTAGTGTTTTCGCTTTATCCTCATGTTCCATCGGGGAAAAGGCAAACTGCATATTTGAAATAACTTGAAAATACTTTAATAAAATCCGAAGGAAGTTCGTAGTTATTCATTGCCATTTACAGGTTCCTTAAAGTTGCTTAAAATAAACTGTACACATTGCAATTTTTTACGATGGTACTTGAAGCTGCTTGGAGTTAGGTTTCCCTCCTTTTTGCATCCTCGCCTACCTTCTAGTAGATAAATAACTCAAACAGCATCTTTCGTACAGCAGATATCTTGACACGAACAACAAATAATGGGTTCACGTAATGATCAAACTACAATGACTGAATACCGTTCGTATCATCTTCTTAATCAGCTTAGTAACAGTATTTTTATTACTTAAAATTTGACTAAAGATATTTGGAATGAAGATATTTGAATCTGCAGTTAAAGTTTGTCGTGAACAATTTTTTCTAGTCTATTTTGTTATTTGATCTATGAAGAAAATCAACTAGGTTATTAGATTTCGACGAATGGTTGTCGTTGATGAAGAATGCTTGATAAACATCAACTCTCTCTGAGTTATTTTGATTCTGTGTGAGTCTATTACCTTTTGTGCTGGAGAAAGACACGTTTTTTTTCAGTTTATTCAAACAGTTATGAAAGATAATCGATTAGATACCATATTGCATTCAATAGCATGCCATTCATTTTGGAAATAGATCGAAACTGAATTCATTCATCTTCTGCCAGAAGAAATATGAATTGGGCCATATATTTCAGATGGCGATACTCTAAGAGAATGGTTCAGTCTGCTGATAAAACACACAGCTATGAAGAATTCCATCTAATTTGGTGTTTGTGTTCTAAAACATTTGACTAGAATAGAAGTTTTTTGGTCTTCTACAGAACCTTTTCTATAGGTTAGAGAAAGCACCCGATTTTTTTAGAGTAAAAATGGCTAGCCGTGCGAGACCGATCAGCGGGAGACCGACGAGCGACTAAACGTTAGTCTGAGAAGGTTATAATACACAAAATGATGAATTACTGACAAAATCTCGAAAACGAAAATCTCGAGGAGTTCTGATCTCGACGAATAAAATCTCGAAACCAAGAACTTCGAAAATGCAAAATCTCGAAAAAAATCCTAAATAGTTCCAAAAATTAAATTGAAAAAAGATATTAAATTCGACTTATACAGCTATTTCGAAAGTATTTTCGGATATCCTATTATTCGACCAACGATGCATATGTGTTAAGTATGTTTGATTATTATTAGATCAGTTTCTTTCATTCATCCGGTCCGACGCTCTTTGATATCATATTATCGAAATCTAACATTCGTTGCCTTCATCTAGGATTTCGCTCTTTATTGACAATCGATATCTTCTATATTTCTTCCATTTAATCGAGCCTCCAATTCTTTGTTCACTTGTGATATGTTTAATTTTCTTTTACTGTTCTTGTATTCGTATTCGTCCGTCTGGTTCCAACCCTATATCAACACAGTTCGTGTTTTCTCTCTTGTTATCTCTCCATTTGTTATCTTCTGATCATGTCATCGACTGATTCAAACACATCGCCTACTATTACATTCCTTACAAGTAACAAGAAAAAACGTCTTCTGGTCATCGATGGCTTTACTTTTCAGCAAAACAAATCGACTGGAAAGGTTACTTATTGGATATGTCAAGAAAAGCTGTGCAGCATGGGTGTTCATCTTACCAATAACGATGTGTTTATTAAATTCACAAAATCTAATCATACACATATGCCTGCACCAGAAAAGTTAGAAATTCGGAAAATGTTATTGAACGTGAAAGGTCGTCTTAAACGTGAAACGACTACAGTCGGTAAGATTTACACCGAAGAACTTTCTCGGACCAGTTTGACCGCTACTGCACTTGGTATGGCAAATACCACTAAACAAGCATGTATGTAAAATATTCGTTCATCATAAAAGGCAAATTATTTTGTTTTAGATCATGGTTTACATCAAATTCGTCGTCAGGATACACCTAGTCTTCCATCTTCGATGGATGGTGATATTCCATTGTACTATAAAAAGACGACTGACGGACAGCGTTATCTGTTTGCTGACAAAGTTCAACGTATTGATGGGGATATCAGCAAACGAATTATAGTTTATGCAAATGACGAACAGCTCCGTACTCTTTTTACCTCATTGCATATTATGATGGATGGCACATTCGACAGCTGTCCACCACATTTTGATCAAATATATTCTATTCACTGTCTTAAAAATAATCAAAGTAAATTACGTCTTCCTATAAAATAATTTCTATACGATTTATTTAAACAGGTTATCTTTGTGCTATTGCTATTCTTTGTGGTCGATCCTATGTGATTTATAAAGAATTGTTTTTTTTCAATTCTCACTCATCATGCTCGTCGTCTTCACTTAACATTTCATCCCAAAATAATTACAACTGATTTTGAATCAGCAATGATCAAAACGGTAGCTGATGAAGTATGTTTTTTCTTATCTTCTCACTAGATTATGTCTCTTTCGTCTTTAGTTTCCTAACGCACGACACGTCGGATGTTATTTCCATTTTACAAATTCGATTATCAAACGCATTCAATGCCTTAATCTAACCACGATGTATCGTGATGACGAGCATGCACGAAATACTGTGCGTCACCTGATGATGCTTCCTCTTATCCCGGTCAATCACATACGATATATCTTTGATAAAATTACCGAGACAGCACCTCATGTGATGAAACCCCTGATTGATTACTTCGAAGGTGATTGGATTCGAAAAGTACGTTGGGGTCTATGGAATGTCTTCGAGCTGAAGCACCGAACGAAAAATTTCGTCTAGGGTAAGCTTTCAAAATCTTTATTCTTAATTTTTCTCTTTTAACTAGGGTGGAATCACCGGCTTAACCGTTTGGTTGCAAGACATCATCCCAATGTGTGGCATCTGTTTGAATGCTTTTGCATGGAGGAAGTTTGTGTTCGGCAAACAATGTTAAAACGGACTATGAGAGAAAAAAAACAAATCAACAAGAAAGCGAACGATTTCGAACAACGACTTAATACGCTTCAGTCTCAATTTGAAGAAAAAACAATAACGATTGATGAGCTTGCTGAAGGATTGACTCTTTTAGTCGCAACGAAAATCTAAGTGTTCTTTTTATTCACGTTTTCAATCGAATGTTCTATTTGATTTTTAAATTCTGCGAATTTCTTCAATAAAATAAACTATTCTATAATATATTCGTTGCATTGCTCAAATTTATATTTCTTATATTCTTGGCACCTTCGGCATTTTTTCGAGTTATTTTATTTTCGAGGTTTTCTTCTTTCGAGATTGAAATTTTTGAAATAAAAATTTTTCGAACTTTTCCTTTTTTGATATTCTTTTTTTCGAAGTTTCTTTTTTCGAAATTTTATTTTCGAGATTTTGTCATTATACCAAAATGATAACTACATTGTGAAAAATGAGCGTAGAATAGTGAATATTTCAACGTAGAAATCGAGTGTTTGCTATTTTAGCTAAAAATAGGCGTAAAAATGACGATCGCGGCATATGATCCCCTTACTGAAAATTATTAAAATAATTTTGGATATTTTCATACCTGGATATGAACTAGAAACGCAGAAAGTTTCAGACGATTCTGAAATACTTGTGTATAAAGTGGTTGAGATCCCATGAAATTTCGGAAATTTCTTTTTCTAGAAATTTGCTCACTGCTGGTTTTACATTCATTTGCTACCATGATTTAATCTAGAAATATGGCTGGTAATAAGAAAGAATTGCAGTTAACGTTGCGCATTCTTATTTCAATTATTTATCTGTTTGTCAGTGATTGAAAAACAGCTTTAATTTATTTTTCGATGTAGTCTTGTTATAGCAGTTGATATAAACGATCCAGTATGTACTGCTCATTTCAAAATTAAAGGCGGGCAGGCATTTTTCAAATGAATTCTGAAAAAAACGAGATGGAGACCTGTGGGTTTCTCAGCTCGCAAGAGGCGATGAAGACGCATCGATTCATATGAAATGGTTGGGATTTATCTTAAAAATAGATGATGATCTACAGCCATCTTGGAAGAATATACCGTTACTCTATGAAGGCACGACAAACTTTCAAATTTTAAGGCGTGCATTTGAACCGCCCAATCAAGAGCTACAAAAATCATGCCAAGATTCAATTCGTGACGGATACCAATAACACGTTTCAGTTGTCAGAACACTTTGTAATACTGTATTTTCCTTGAGAAAATTGCAAGAAATGGAAGTTGCGCGATATTTAGAGATGAAATCGATGCTGTCACACGCAAGAAAAAAGTAACTTTTGGAAAATATCTGAATACCACTCTTAGGAGAATAGTTGAACACTTTTTCATACACGTTCCGATGCGTCTTTATTCCGTCTCTCCAACCGTGAACACCGCAGCTCTCCATTTCGTCTCTATCAAAAACTATTCGAGAAGTACTCACCAGTCTTTAATTTTGAAACGAGCAGTAGTTGGTTTCTCGTTTAAAAGCTATTCGGCTGCGTCTTATTTTTCGTTCTTGATTTAGACTCAATACAGAATACTCTGTATAGAATATTTATCATAGTAATCTAGAAAAAATTTCGTACTAAACTTTTTCTGATAGAACCCAGTGCTGTTTGAGAACAGCCTCTGTGATCACATTATGTTTAGCCTGGCACAACATTTTTTTGTTTACTGTATCGTTGATTTCAAGTAGTTTTCAGTAAAGTTTTCCATACAATTACTCTCGTTGAGACCGTATGGTAATTTCTATTAGTCTGTTTTTGCTCTTATTCTGGTTTTTAGAAACTACGAATTTGATAACCGGCTACCGATAATAAAGCTGAAGTAAAAGTATGATCTTGATCTAAATGTCGATGATGAGACTTCACTGCGTCCGCTAAATATGTTGTATTCATATTATAATCCCGAAAGATAAATGTACCAGTGATCGATCTTGCATTTTTTAAACTCAGAGACCATGTTGTCACAGTGATGACACCAGGTGATACTGGTATAGTATATCCAAAGTCATAATCTATGAGTTGAACATCGTGATTTTCCTGACATTCCCATTTTCCATACGAATCGCTGTAAGGGTGAAGTGGATTATCTTGTTGATCACTACTAGTCCACGTATAACTGGAATCTGGCCTCAGCGTCATAATTACGTATGTCACCGGAGTGATACTAAGACTTAGATAATAAATACCGGCCAAATCCGAATAACATCTTGGATTCTGGTTACAACTATAGCCAAAATTTCGTTCGGCTTTTGCAAATTGATTGTCAACGTTGAAATTAGTAGACAATACCAAGCAGAAAACGGACAAAAAGCGGAGCATAATTCCAAATTGTTTTTAATATCACTAAGTCAAAGGAAAACGAAAGACTTCAAAACGAGTAGATGAGTTCTGGTAATTTATTTGTCTCCTATAGAAGCGAGTCGAAAAAGAATATAATCTATGCAGAAGTAAAATTCATTTCTAAAAATCAATATTTGGTATTCATTCGATAATTAAAATGCATTCTGATTTCAACTAGAACTTTACATGATGAGAAAAAGAAAATAAGGACAAAAGCTTACTAGAATTCTCTCTTCTGACAAAAACGAAAAGTGTTACGCATCACGTTGGCCGCAGTACTTGTGAATATTTGGCATCTCGATCTCCCCTCTGCAAATCACCCACGATCTTATCCTAAGGAATTATCTACTAATAACCTCTTGTATGGATGCTGTGTTCTTCAAGAAAATCGTCGTGTCATATCTCACAAAATAATGAAAAATATTCAAGATAAAAAGATAGCTGTTTTTTGTGTATTCCTAGTAGATTGAACTGGGATTTCGGGTCACAGGACTATCTGATTAGTGTCTCGCTTGAGCTCAAACATGTCGTCGATCGGACCAGTCTTTCCTGGCTCATTCAAAAAAGAATTATCACACTTCACTTCGGCTTTATTATGAGTATTTTCTCCTACACTATGCACACAACGCATAATTTCGGGATAAAATCGGAGTTTGATGCACTAATTTTTGAGAATTTCATGATAAATCTTTCTATAAAAAGCATTTTTCTGAGGCCGACTTATAGGTGATAAGTGTGTCAAATTTTGGAAGACTCGCTCACTATAAAATATCCGATACATCGTATATACGTATTAAACTTTTGTGTCTGTTTTAAATATCTGTTGGGAAATACAGGTAATCAAAGGTAAAACAAAACATGTTCTCCACTTTCGAATGTATTCTATAAACCGGTAACAACAACTTCTTAAATTTTTTAATTTAACCTTTGGATCTATGGACTCACGAGATTCATTTGCTACACAGTGTTTCTCCTTAATAACGACACCAAAAATGAAACCTTGTTTTATTTTTATCCGCGTTCATCTATTTTACGATCGGCTTCAAACAGGTTCATATTTGGGGAATTTTCCGATGAAGTTCTTTCAAATTAGGTATTTTCGATTCCTTTGCTCATATGCTTTCCTAGAGAAATCATCAATCTGCAATCATGATGCCCTGTTGTCTTTTCGGGCCCCGTACGTTTTGCCGTCAATAACTTTGCCGACTAGTTCATTTTGTCGACAATTACGGTTTTACGAACAATTTATCCGAAGGATATCAGTCCAAATCATACTTTATAATAAACTCCGCCACGGCCTGCGTGATCCTCACCCTCACACATTAGCGAGCTGCAAATTCATTTTTTTGGGCCCGGATCCCAAATCGCAGACTACTTCTCAAGAGATATCATACTTTGTATATAAAAAAAAAACAAGATGTTATCTAGTCTTTATTAGTCATCAGTGGGAAAACCTGCATATTTCACTGGTAGAAGGTTGCAAGCTTATATTTTTTCAGATTCTGATCGACCTGAACCCGTGAAAAAAGAAAAAGTTTGATCTCAAACCTGATCGGATCCAAGTCGACCCGCTGCTCTCTGGACTAGACCCTCATCTGTGTTTTCATTCTTATGCTTAAGCTTCACCTACATCCCATGTATACTTCCATGTTTACCCGTGATCTTCACCCTCACCCGCTCCTACCTATACTCTCACCGATATCTTGACATATACTTTGATTCTTAGCCGTGATCTTGTATTACATCTTCACCCTTACCGACGCCCTTATCCTTACCATTACATATACTCTCATTTTCGCTCTCATCCGCACCCTCAAAAATCTACGAAACCAAAAAAGGATCGGTCGGCGGACGCACGCTCCGAACCCTCAGTACGGAACCTTTTTAAGTTTCGCCACAAAATACAAAACCTTAATGGATTCGTATAAAACCATAGTACGAAACCTTAGGGTTCCGTATTTTCTGCCGAACCTTTATTGGGGCCGAGCGAAATTTTAAAAGGCTTCGAGACGGTGGTTCGGAACGTGTGCCCGCCGACGGATCCTTTTTAGTTTCGCAGATTTTTCCCTTTTCTGAAAGAAAGGGTTATAGCGTCATAAATCAGGCCACTAAAATGCAACAAGTTTGTTTGTTTGCATAATNTGAAGTTGATTAGCGAAATTTTGAAACGAACCTTCTCAACTTTTATTTGAATTAGAATGCTTTTTTTAAATACCTACGATATGACTTCTCAGACGACAATGTGAATAAGAACTATGACGAGTACATAATAATAATAATAGAATTCAAACTATTATGAATAATTTCAGCAAAAGAAATATTTTACTGTTAATCATTCAGTCGAGGGTTAAGCGAGTCTGCCTCGACGAGCGTTACTAGTCTTATAGTGAGCATGAAAACTGTTAACTATGCCACATCAATTCCAATAGATTCCGATTCTAACCAATTTTGACCAATTCTGGAATTAGAATCCAATCGCATCAGAGTTGTTGCACCTCTAATCTTTTGCGTAGGTCGACCTCTAGATCATGATATTTATTTGTTCAAATTCATTCGAATAAGCACTGCTACCTAACCTCTTGAAAATTCCTTTAGCATGGATGAAATCAAGATAACTGTAGCTATACTCACCATTCAGAACACCTATGAGTCTATAATCGATCTTTTGATATTTATTCTTCATCGTGGTTGTCTATCTTGACTTCCATATGACTAAATCACTTCGAATTTAATATGTCTACTGTTACCTATCTAGCTTCTAGATCCAGAACATACCCGATGATAGTTCTTCAAGCAAGAACAAAGTGTGTCATGGCAGAAAGAACTCATCCAAACATCCAACTTTTCTGGTTTTTATCCTCGTTCTTTTAGAACTAAGGACAAATCAGTTCTCATATACGCCTTGAAACAGTTTTGGCTGCCATTGTTCTATTTATTATGGTATGCCATAAAAATAAGTTCTTTTCGAAATTTTATTTTGACAGAATCAAATGCATAGTCAGCGGATTGAACTCAAACATAGACTGAAGAGCGCTGCAAATACTATTTTGATAAAAGAAGAAATCTTCTGAGATGGTAGCCACTAAAATACTACTTGCGTTCAATAGCTTCAGATATCAATATGTATAATCTAGTGTTTTCCGTTGGATTTATTTCCAGTGACCATTTTAAAATAAACACCACGTAACCGCATTAATTCTTCATGATTACCACTCTCATGTATCTGTCCTTTATTCAGTACATATATTTCATCACATGAACGGATTGTAGACAAACGATGAGCAATAATTAATGACGTTTGAATAAAATCTTCTGACTGAGCTTTTTCAAGGGCTTCTTGTACTACCTACAACAAAAACATGAATTTTTGAAAAATAAATAAACAAAACCTGCTGGAAAGTATATTTCTTTCATGCTTGTGCCAATAGGCATTATCTCTATTATTCTATCATTTTGACATATCATTCATACAAGATATTGTCCTTGCTTAATATTCGTATCCTTCATCTTGTTATATTAACGTATGTTCTCTTCTCTTATTCATAGTCCCTATAAAAGACGATATTCTGTATTATATGAAACACATTTGGTGTATAAAGAAGTGTAGAGAGAATATAATCACCTCTACCAAGGATAGCGGTAACACTACTCTTCCAAATTGCCATTGCGATCACAATTATACTAATAAAAGAATATGCTGCAGCAGCACCGAAAAAGATCTAAAGCTATCCTTTACATTCTATCTCCTATACTTCGTTACAACGCTATCGTCCGTTTTATTCTAGTTTTCTTTAGGAATTCTATTAAATTATGTTGAAAGTGATGATGACAGAACAATTATATGCATCATTATTATACGAAAATCGAATTTTCTAGTTCTTCATGAATATTTCAAAGGAAGATATAACATGTAAATAGTATTTCACTTTCACAATTTCGTGATTTAAAAAATTGTATCCAACACTTGGTATTGACTTAAACTCCGATTAAAAGAAAACTTAGAAGGTATGGCTTATTTTCAAGATATTAGCTTTAAAATACTATTATCTTTGTCGGCAAAAACGCTCTTTACTGAGATTGCATTTCTACTTGAAATGTTCAATTATTCAAATATCTATCGTGAATTTAATTCAATATTCAAGTATGTCAGTAGAAACTAGGAAAAAAATTTACCTGTTCATTATGAGAATCCATAGCGCTTGTTGCCTCATCTAACAACAGTACTTTAGGACGGCGACATATAGCTCGAGCTATTGCAATACGTTGTTTTTCACCACCTGAAAGAAAATTGCCTCTCGCCCCAGCTTTTGTCTGATAACCCTAAGAGTTTAATAAATGAGATGTTTTATAAACTCAATATTATATAATTAACGCACTTCAGGTAAACGTTGAATAAAACGATGAATATTAGCTTTAGTTGCTGCATTAACAATATCGTCCATTGAAACATTTTCCAGTCCATATGTTATATTATCGGCTATGGTCAAATCGAACAAAACTGGTTCTTGGCTGACGAGACCAAAAAAAGAACGAACGCATTCAATATTCAATTCACGAATATCAATGCCGTCCAGAAGCTATATTTGACGTTAATATATTTGTATCATCTTATATGCAAATACTTACTAATTGGCCATCTACAACATCATAGAATCGTTCTAAAAGTTGAATTGTTGTTGATTTTCCACATCCAGAAGCGCCTTAATTAAAACCAATTAAACATTTATAATTGTCAAAGTAATCTTTGCTGAAGATTCCGTTCACTTTTTTCTTATGAAGATCATGTTTTACAGTAGTAGTGAACTTTTTACATATACAATTTCTAAAAGCTGATCAAAGATTTCTGTTTTTCGACTTCGATTGCTCTTCGGTTGAACTCTATATGGGGCAATCTCTTTTAGTTGAATTCGATTTTCTGACCAATCCGTAGAACACAAAAATACAGGCAAGCATACACTTTCCTCCTGCAAAATCCTTCTGTACAAGAAAGAAAATAAACATACCGACAAGTGCAATTCGTTGACCTTAAAAATAATAAATATTCATTTGAACGAATGACTGAAGATTTTTTAAAAATCTAACCTGGTTTTATTTCTAATTGAAACTGATTAAGGGCAATGGAGTTTGGTCTTGATGGATAAGAAAATTGTACTTTATTGAAACTGATTTCTCCAGAAAAATCAATCTAAAACAAACAACATTTATATACATATAACCAATGATATTAATTTGAATACTAATTGTTTTCCTTCAGTTGATGCATTATCGATTGCTGGAGTTCTATCAAATAAGCGGAAAAATCGTTTTGCAGACGCCATCGATCCACCTATTGGATTAACACTAGTAGGCCGATAATTCGGTGAATACTAATCAGATATTTATATTTCTTACGTGAGTTCAAGCGATCTCATTGCTTCAATCGAAAACACACTGAACGCAATTATCCTAAAAAATATTAAGTATTTTATGTAGTTGGAAGAGCGATTGGTTTAATTACATAATCATATTAAGTGCATCCAGTTCATGATTTTCAATAAGACCGAGAGCACGCCAGTATAACACTATTACGGCTAAGTCCGGAATTGTCCAAGATATGCCGTAAAATAATGCAGTTAATATCAAGACCTTACGAATTTTACTAGAGAAAATAAAATAAACTTATCGGGTGTAAACTGATACGTAATAAACTAACGTGAATGTCGCTTCATTGTATTCCGAGTATTGTCTTAATACTTCTTTTTCAATTCCTAAATGTTTTATGGTTCGCATATTGTGCATAACTTCATTAATCAACTATGATAACAAGTATTCAGTTCGTTTCAGATTTTGATAAACAAAGTGAAAAATAAGTAAAGCTTACAGTACTTGCTGGTTCGCGTATTTTGTTAATTTCATTATCTAACCATAAATCTACTTTCACTTCTATATGAATAAGTATAAAGTAAGCGATTAAAAATAAAAAGATAATAATCGTCAATTCCAAATTGAAATAAAGTCCAATTAGAAAACCACACATTGCCGATGAGAAACTTTCAAGGATAACTCCAAGTCGATTACCAATCAGTTTTTGCACGGATAAAGCATCATGGGAGAGGCGAGAACAAACGGCGCCACAGCTATTTTCAGGGCGATCAAAATAAGCAACTTCTTGACGAAGTAAACATGAAAAAGCTTTTGAGCGAATGCGTTCAGTCAGTTTTGATCCTGATATACCAAACAATGTATACTAGTGGAAAAGATTGTTTTTCAACTATTTTACATAAGATTGCTTGTCTTACTTGAAAGAAATTTAGGAATAATTTCACAATGCCCAATAATAAAAAGAGGACACTTGATATCAACACTTGTTTAAGCATTCCAGAATTTGAACACTCGCCAAAAGCCTTTGAAATAGAAACAGTATTAGGTTTCTATAGATTTTTATTTTATACGAATAATTTACCTTGATTACATTTGCATAAAGTATTGCAAAAAACGGTTCACTAACACCATTAATTGCACATAAGATGCAGCCCATTAAAATGAATAACCATTCTGGTTTATTTATAGACAAAAGTCTTAAAATTAAAAATTGATTGCCTGATGAACTTTCAACATCCTACAATCATAGAAAGAAATATATATTATATTACAATATGCGGAGGAGAAATAATTGGAATAGGTCACAAGTTGATTGATATTTGCTGAAAAATAGGCTAGATTTCTTGATTTTCACGTATGTTTATTCACTATGAATAGATAGGCTTGCTCCCTGGGATATATGACCGATTGTTTCTGTGTATCCCACACTTGTGAGCATATACGAAGAACTCTTGTTTCTATTTTATCGCATAACTATTAATTATACAAGTGTACTGTTTTCCGTGCATATTTTTACACTGTAGAAGCGTGGCAAAGAAGTGAAATCTCATGTGTAATAGAAGAGTTGAATCTTGAACTGATTCATATGTATTATAGTAAGGCCTCCTCTCTAACTAATTCAATTTCATATGTCAATTTTTTCTCTATATTCAGTCAAACATCATCCCATGACATATCCTATTTCACTTCGACATATTTTCTCGGAAGTCATTCCTTCTTGATATGTCCCACCTGGATCTCCTGCTTATTTTCTTTCCAAAATGATATCATCCCGTTTCAGCGAAATAATTTTCAGGGGAATTTTTGAGCGAAAGATTTGTAAGCGAAAGAAGATGCAGTGCATGAAAGCCAGTCGATATAAGAAAGTGTAAGCTGAAATACAATACATTTGTCTAAACAGCATAATCAGCAACTAGACAGAAAGTTTTGAGGCGGTAGTTCAGATGAACCATATTAGTGATGTAAGTAGAAGTACAGTTAAGAGAACCCATCCGTACTTTCCATCGTCACATCCACATTATAACATTCTCATCCGCACTTTCGCCCTTCTGTATGAGGATGTTAGTTTCGATTATTCATTCCAGCAGTTTATTGATTGAAAACTCAATTTTTTGCTATTTTCCTTTTAGCAAATAGTCAATTTGGCTAACGAAATTTTTGCTGAAATGCTGCCATACTCTGTTTCACACATTATGTCTCTTCATGAAAATCTATCATGAGTACTACAGTGAGTACTTGATCGACTAATTCCAGCACTCATGCTGTGAAGTCGTACTCATTTTGTGAAAAACTTCACTAGGACTGCAAAATTGCGTAGACTATCAATGTTTATTATCTGTTCTCTGTTCCAACCGACAAAAGAATTGTTTTTTTTTGTCAGTTTTCCAAATTTTTCTGAATTAATAGTAATGTTTGCTAACAAAGACGTTTTTCTGCTACCTCGAGAGACAGCTTCTAACTCACAATATGTTACTCTTGAATATATGTAAACAATTCGATTTTATTTTCCTACCTCGTCTTCATCAATAGATTCTTCACCATTAAACTCGGTATACTGTTCGTCTGGAATGAAAAGAAAACAATATTCTAAGCCACTAAGATACAAAACTGTACCAATCTGTTGCTCTTTTTGTTGACCGAATTCTTCAATGCCTATTGTAGCATATATGCTATCATCAGCATGTTCGGTTTGCTGTTTTAGTATCATTTCTTTGTATTTTCCACCTTTCGCCAATAATGTTTCGTGTGTGCCTTCTTCAACAACATTTCCATGATCTAATACATATATTTTATCAGCATTTTGAATAGTTGTCAAACGGTGAGCAATTACGACTGTAGTGCGACCTATATTAAAACCAATAGACATATACAGGATAAACAAAATAGGTCGATTGACAGATAGACAACCTTGACACACGCGGGCAAGTGTTTCCTGTACCACTTTTTCACTAAGAGTATCAAGTGCACTTGTTGCCTCGTCCAATAATAGTATAGAAGGCTGCTTAACAAGGACGCGAGCTAATGCGATACGCTGTTTTTCTCCACCACTCAATTGTAGACCAGATCCTCCAACAATTGTTGAGTATTTCTAAATAAAAGTGATTTATTAATAAGAATATACAAGAACATAATCATAGGTAAACATTAGGCAATTGCATTATAAAATCATGTGCGTTTGCTTGACGTGCTGCGTTTTCGATTTGTTCCGTCGTTGCGTTTAATTTACCAAAACGGATATTTTCATAAACAGTTGTATGAAAGAGAAACTATTAATAGAAATAACGTAAGAAAAACATGAAAGAAAGAGAACCATACAGGTTCTTGATTGACAAGTCCCGCAGTTTGTCGAAGTTGTCTAAGACTATATTGTTTGGCAGATTGGCCATTTATAGTTATTTGACCAGATAATGGTTCGTAGTAACGAAGAAGAAGAGATATGCATGTACTTTTTCCTATTATAAAATGTTTATAGTAATTACTAAGCATATATTTGAGAGAAACTAAACAACAAATTACCAGAACCGCTTGAACCTACGATTGCAGTTGTTTGACCAGCACGAGCGACCAAAGAAAGATTATGAAGAACAACAACGTCTTTTCGGGATGGGTAAGCAAAGTTAACATTATCAAATTTAATGTCACCATTCAAAGCAACTGGCTGTTTGTCTGTTGAATCTCCTTCCCAAATTTCTGGTTCATTCATATCGATATTTTCCCCCTATATTATCATAAATAGTTTAAAGAAGATATTTCCTCTCCTCTTTTCAACTGACATTGTTAAAACTGTGAGTGTTTAGATGAAGTTGAATGGGTCTGAAGTATGATTATAAGATACAGCCAAAGGCGTGAACGAAAACTAATGGATATATCTGATAGGTACATTATGTATGTAGCTTCAAATAATCCGCATCACATACTTCCTTATTGTACCTAAGCGCAGGCCAGTATTCGCGTTAGAGATGAATAAACACAGCTACTCTGTAAAAAAAATCGGGTCACACTGAACCTTTTTTGGTTTTAGCAAAAAAATCTGGAACCCAAAAGGTTCTGAAAATAAGGTTCTGAAGATGGTACCCAAATCTAGAACCATAAAAGGTTTTAGACGCTGGCTAAAACCTTTTATGGTTCAGTATCGCCCGGTTTTTTTAGAGAGTATGAAATTCTTTTCCTTCAAATGAAGTCTAATGCTACATATTTTGCGTTGAAGTTAAAGTAGGATTTTTAGAACAGGAGCGAATTTGGGGTAATGCAGCTAATTTTCAAAGATATCCTCGCACGTACCATAGAACACATAGTGGTAACGCATGCAAAGTTTTCAAGCATAGTTCCATATAGATTTCAATCGTTTTGAAACATATCATATTCTCGACATTTGTATATCTCAATTACTGTGAGATACACCCGCTAGTTTTTTTTCTATATTTCTAGAGGTATCTTAAATCAACACTTCCTCTGGAGACTTTTCTACTATACACAAGCGTGAAGAAACTCTCTGCAGATTGATAATTAGAAAAGAATGACGTACTATCATGTTCAAAATAATACAATATTGTTCTTTTTTATACTTCACCTCTTCAATAAGCCGCAATAAAGATGTTGCTGGGCCTTGAGCTTCTGAAAATGATTCGGCAAAAGGACCAATGGTACTGAAGTAACCCATACATTCAGCAAAGGCAGTAGTGACCTGTACAAATAAATCAAAAGAAACGAATGCCATCAATTGAACTATAAAATAAGTAACGTACGATAAGAATTTCGGTGATGCCGAGAGTATCTTCCCCATAAGACATAAGAAGAGAACCAGAGATAGAGCCAACTATATACACAAAGTATATAGCAAGAGCTATTGAGCCAACAAATATTCCAAATATAGCACCCTTTTGTACAGAGCTCCACCGAGATCTTCTCAGTGCGTTATCATAGCTAAATAAAATAAAATTATGCAATACATCATTCTAACAACCATTTCCTCGCTAAGCAGAGCAAAACTCCAATTCATAAGAAAGGTCTCGTTGGAATAGGAAATCTATTTCCAGCTTCTGACTTTGGGGACGCAATAGAGAACGTATCTCTTGGACTTTAATAATGCATAGACAAGGAGGAACAAACTGATTTCTCTCATTTTTCTTGGCTAATGGTGAATTTAGAGGCGATCCGCTTTCAAGTAGAAACTTGTTTCCTTGAGCGCTGGAATCATTCAAAATTAGAATCCTAGCCCCCTCGCTCAGAATTATGAGCATGAGCTGCAGATCTCTACTCGAAATGAAGTGAAGTAACGGAAATCAACGAAAATTACTTACAATCTTGGAAACGGCATGTACCAAGTATTATGCCTTGTTGATTTCTATTATTTTCATTAATCTCTAGGCGATTTTTGACTGAGAATCCGTTTATTCGTGCTTATTCTGAGCAGACCTCTTCCAATTAATTATTTCTCCCATGCGAGGTTGATTATTTTGTAGGAAAACGTGTCATACTAAACCTTTTTTTTGGTACTATTTTCAGAACCATTGTAGGTTTCAGTAAAACAGGCTAAGATTGTTTTTCATAACTTACATCGCTGATTTTTTAAAAAGTGGGATATAGTTATATATATAACTGCGCTAAAACGGCACAATTGTGTGCAATTTCATCACAATAGCAACCATAACAACTTATATAGCTTTTAATTAAAAATTGATGATGATAAAACGTAATTAAAATTTTTTTACCGTTTCTGTTCGAATTTTACACCGTTGAGTGATAGAACAGTTCGAAATGAGCTAAATACTTCTTGTGCAATTTGTCCCGCTTCCGAATATGTTTTCAACTCGTTCTTGGTTGCATTAGAAATAAGCTGCAATAATCTATATAAGATTTCAATTAATTAAAATAATAAACCATACTCTGGAAAAAACGATTGAGCAGACAAAAATGAAAGGCACAATGCAAAGTTGGATCAAAGTTAATGTCCAATTGACTACAAAACAAGCAATTAAAACACCAACGATAGTAAGCACTGCGGTTATCATTATTATAAAGTCGTAACCAATGCCTGCGGTAATTTTATCCATGTCACTAGATAATAGTCCGATGGTATAGAAGTATTTGAAACAATATGCTATATTAACCTACTCAAATAGTTTGAGACTGAGTTGACCGGCTGCATGCACATCAAAATATGTGATTCTCTTAAAAAACACAAATGGCTATAATTGTTATACCGATCCGAAATGGGTCCGGTTCGGGTTTTTCAAAAACTTAACCGAACCGGAAAAATGTCAAATTTAACTAACGACAGTAAACGCATATAATTTTTGTCTGATCTCAATTATTCTGTTCCGGATCACTGTCAACTGTGATACTCATGTATATCTTGGACGTGAATGTGAGATTCACCAGCCTTTAAAAGTCAACTGGTTGACTATTGAATCTAAAGGATAACTGGCTTCTTTTACTTCGTTTTTCAATTTGAAAGGCTATTCAACGCAATAATTAACTCCGACATCTCGTACGCAAAAATTAAAACAAAAACTATATATATGAAAGTCGAAGAGAAAAAGTGAAATTTTCGTACTTCACTGTATTTCAAAGGCGTTTCAAAGCCATCTTTGAAGTGTTTTTAACTACGTTACTTCTTCCATACATGTACATCAAACAAGTTCGACTTTGAGTTTATTTGACATAGATCTATCCTATAAAAAACGAAAGTACTTCATGGGACTTCATTAACACTTCAAGGTTGAAGTATCATGAAGTATCTGGCCTTTATTCAGATTAGTTTCATACTAAGTACTGTCACACTGGTATTTGTTTCATGTGTATGTATCGTAGACTTAAAATAGTTGAAAACATTTCGAAGATATCTTTGAAACACCTCTGAAACACACTGAAATACGGAAATTTCACTTTTCCTTCACTTGATGAGAGTACAGAGTGGTAAATAATATTATTCAAGAGGGTAACTCTCTAATTCCGATTCAGAGGTATGATAAATTTTATACCAAATGAAAGCCTATGAAAAATGGGATCTACTGAGACCAAGCAGTAAGACCTTGAGAGGGTTTCGTATGGAGTCCGGCGGGACTGTCCCGATTCTGATTTTCATCCCGAATCCCGGTCCCGACTCTAATCCCGAGAGGTTATTTTGTTAGCGTCAGGGTCTGGACACGTATTATCAGTAAGCGACGATGTCTTTATCAAAATCCCGAGAAAATATTTCAACGCGACCCAAATCGGGGCGGGTTTCTTCCAAATCAAAGACGGTTCGGGATGCGCCTGAAAAACTCCGATCCCACCGGACTCTAGTTTCGTAGGTCAAACTCTTGAAAATAACGAAATTTTCTCAAAAAAATCGCTAAGAATTTGTTTTATCGAATAGTGTTCGAAACAAGGAACATATTACAAAAGAGTTTATTTTCTTATTATTTAGTGAATACAACCAATAATCAGCATGGCGTTCATTAGCATTCTTTACTGCACAAAGTCTGGATGGATACGAACATAAAAGAGTTTCAAATGGGTTGGCATCTTCTTTCATGTCAGTCATAACATTTTCAATGTGCATCTTGAATATGTGTTCAAGACATCGAATCAGTAGATCCTATTTTTCACGGGCTTTCATTTGGTATAAAATTCATCATACCTCTGAATCCGAATTAGAGCGTTACCCCCTTGAATAATATTATTTACCAACCTGCACATAAAAACATATAAAAGAGAGACAACACTTCTAAAAAAAACTAAACTGCTTCTTTTCGATTCTATTAAGTTGGTTTGAACATTTGCCTTTTATGTATTTGAAATCTCTCTTGAAAAATAACATTGTTCACTATCCCAGAAGACGACTTTGGAGCTTCTGTCTATGTATGGTATCTGTTAATTCATCTATGTCATGTTCAATTTCTATACACTAATTTAAACTTCAATAATTCAGCTAAAAGTTGAACCGAACCGTGCCCACCTCTAATACCCATCACTTAAATGATAGCTAATAAATAGTGCAATTTCGTGTTGAAATCAACTATCTATCTATCATTCGTAATACGAACTTTAACTTACACGTTGAAGGAGTGATCTGAACAGAAGATTACTTATATGAGAGTTCTGCTTCATTATAGATAAGTTCCACATGTAAACAGCAATAGCAGCGGCGAAGAATTCAATTGCAGCAAAAGCTAAACAGATATTGAGAGTGCAGCAATCATAACTGTCGCTTTTTTTTGACTGTTAAGGAGTCTTATTTTGCGACTTACTTTGTAACACATGAATATTCGTCATCACGTTTTCCCGAAACGTAGACATTGGCATAGCTGGTGTTGATGAAAAGGAAACATTACTGTTCAGGCACAGACTGAAATATATAAGTTATTTAGCAAAGAAAGAAATTAGTATATTTATCAGATAAATATGTTTGACGCAAAAGTTTCTTATGAAAAAGGTAATTTTCTTACATTTCCCTGAACCATCTATTCAGTTCATAAATGACAAACATAAACAAAAAGATCATTGAATATTAGTGGTTCCATCTTAAGTCGATCTACCTTCAACAATTACTACCAAGTTACACAAACAGCATTCACTCCTAATTTGCTTAAAACACTTCTCGATTGTGACTATGAATATTCGCACACCCACGCGTTATAACATAAGATATCTCGCAAACGCACATTTTTCATATCTTTTATAAAAAATGAACTGCCAAAAAACGTCATAAGAAACATCGATCTCCATACTAAGGGTGTGACAATTCCATCTCAGTTCGTGAGCTGGGAACTGTCACAGGCCTGCTCCATACTAACACTAAATATATCACTTATAGTGTAGAGATACAACCGAACAACGCTGTTGTCTGCATTTAGGCTTAAATAAAGATAGATCAGCCATGGACAGGAGCTGAAACCTCAAAGCATGGAGCCTTCCAGATTACAACTCGGTCCACTGACCTTCCATTTCAAGATAGCTGATGTTGCCAGATACACCAATTGATCTCAAAAAGACGAACATTTTGATAGTATGCTACAGAAGCTTTTGAGCTACCTTTCTATACCCTTTTTCTAAGTTGTATAGAGCGTACTTTTTTAGGATAGTACACTAATGTTGACCGAACTACTTCGTTGTCTTCTTGGAGAAAAGAGGAATATATTAACAGCAAGGTCGGTTCATGTTTTAGATGCTATACTTCGAAAACAAGTATCAATGAGATGTCTGATTTAGAAGTTGAATTGTAGTTTTGCAGAGCTGATCGAAGGCTACAAGGTGTATTATTTTGATTTGAACTTCCAATGAATTAANTCGGAGACAAGTATCAATGAGATGTCTGATTCAGAAATTGAATTGTAGTTTTGTAGAACTGATCGAAGGCTAAAAGGTGTATTATTTTGATTTGAACTTTCAATGAATTAAGGGTAAAAAATGTCTTCTTTACTACGATGCACTACGAAGCCTTAAAATCTCCAAAATAAGATGCGCATTTCTTTCCAAAATCTTTGCACATCGTTTCCAAATCTCATTCGATTGTTACGAAAACTCATCGACCGATAGAGTTTTTGCTACTCTTTCTACAGATAGTGTTAGAATTGCGAAATTCTATAATCAGATGTAGAAGATCGCTCAGACGATCTCTGGAGCACCTTGGACACTTTCTCCCGAAAACCTGAGAATTTGAAACCCACATCTTTCGATTCTGACCACTACAGATTGTGCGCCTGATGAAATTGTATCTATCTTATAATTCTCACTTTCCTATCCTATAAAATCAATGAAATATGCTGATATTAATGTACTAGTACCAGCACCATATTTGAAAATGGTGCATTTTGTTACTAAAATATTCTTGTTTTCTCCAAGAAGACAACGAAGTAGTTCGGTCAACATTGGTGTACCATCCTAAAAATGTACGCTCTATACAACGGTGGAAACCATATGTTTCAAGCTTGCAGCAAAACAGTAGTTGCACGAACTTTCGGGACAACCTAATACCAGATATCACTCGTAAGTAAGGCTGTTCCCAGAAGGATTTCGAGTGGTCAACTTGCCAAGCTGTACAGTCTCAAATGATTTTCGAGCTTCATATCTCTTCTAGATATACTCAACAATTCATGAATAGGTAGTTTTTCTCGGGAGATAATCAAAATCGCACGGCTCTACGTGACCTCCATGAATCATATAGTCAATAATTCAACATATTCGGATGTTTATATGCTAGCACATTCATTAGTTACTTGCAAAACCGATGATGTCTTGAGAATACAGCTGCTTGACTACATTTTGATGCAATTTCAATGAGTGCAAATCCTGAATACATACAGATATGAATAAGTCATAACGTTAAAAGTCGTGAAAACCTTAGCAAATTTTTACCCAGAATAATGTGCAAATCTATCGAAAATGACATCACAATGTTCACTTGACTGACGAGGAAAGATCGCCAACTTTAAAACCACTTTCGATTCAAAACATAGTCCACTGCAGGTTATCGACCATCTTCATTCCCAATGTTATGGTCTTCACGGCTAATGCTCTGCCAGGAACTAGTTTTTCTGAAAACCTAGTTCCTGGCAGAGCATTAGCCGTGGAGACCATAATATTGGGAATGAAGATGGTCGATAACTTGCAGTGGACTATGTTTTGAATCGAAAGTGCTTTTAAAGTTGGCGATCTTTCCTCGTCAGATATGTTGGTCTATATTATTTCTTAGACGATCTATGGAGAAGTTTTTGGGAAGCGACTTGTAGTTTTGACAGCTCCATCGTTTACTAGTACTTATAGTTTTTGATTGCGTTGCACACTGTTGCTCAACTTTTCAAGTCGTCCGCGAATAGAGCTCGATAAACTGTGCTTATATTCTAAATTTTACTTCAGTGGCAACATAGTTATAAAAATTGGCAAGGAATGCTTTCAGGTTTCTAATTTTAGTAGGATTTCCGTACTTAATACTTTTTTTGTCGTGAAAAGTTCATATATATATATATGTGTGTGTGTGTGACTGGCCAGTCTGGCCGTAGGTCCCAGTTCTATTTCTGCTGCATAACTTCGATTTGCAGTTAGAAACAAATGATCTTTTTACCAGCTGTAGTATCGATGAAGGGCGATCGATCTACTAATAATTCGGTTACATTCATAAGCTATTGGAAATAGAAATCAGACAGTTTCATATAGTCTTCTTCTGTAGCTTATTCTATCCAAATATGTTATGATATTTTTAATTATTGAAGTGTTAAATAAGGAATGTAACCGAAATATTAGTAGATCGATCGCCCTTCATCGATACTACAACTGGTAAAAAAAATCGTTTGTTTCTAACAGCAAATCGTAGTTATACAGCAAAAATAGAACTGGGGCCTCCGGCCAGACTGGCCAGTCCTATGTACATATTGGTGTATCCATCAGAAATCTTCAGGTCCATCCGTTGATCTCGTCCGATTTTGATGGACCTTTTAGGATTTGTAGACCTTTGAGTGGTAGTAACTTTTACGGTGGAAATTCTTCAGGTAAAAAAAGATCGAAATGCTTAACTTTACGAGCTAAGGATGTTAGCAGTGGAACTGCAGATGATTTTAAATTGTGGAATTACTTTTTAGAGACACTTTATATGAAATGATTACGAAAAAGTAACTTATCATGCGTGAGCTGTTTGCATTCCTCGAGGTTAAAGTCGTGGAGACAACAAACTAGTACACGTTATAAGGCATGAGCAGGCCTATTAAACTACCGATTCAAAACTTCTCTTTCATTCTACCTTTGATGAGAATCACAAAAAAACTTCACAGCCAATATAATTCGTGAAATGCATGTATTTATGGGTTCCATACTATTGCAGACTACATTTGCATACGAAAACGCAAGAAGACAAAAAATCTTTATAACCAAAAGCTAATCTAGCTTCAGCTCTATCGACCGGGTGTGGGTGATAGTATATTAATGAAAATGAGTCTTTGGACTGCATAAATTTTTACAATAACTATACCGGTCGATAGAGCTGAAGCTAGATTAGCTTTTGGTTATAAAGATTTTTTTGTCTTCTTGCGTTTTCGTATGCAAATGTAGTCTGCAATAGTATGGAACCCATAAATACATGTATTTCACGAATTATATTGGCTGTGAAGTTTTTTTGTGGTTTTGATATAGAACAAAAGAAATCGACAAAAGTGTGTTGAATTTCAAGCTCTATCTTTCTAGACTATTGAAAAGGAGAGTAGAGAGAGTGGCGGATTTACAGTCTTATCCGGCGGTGTCCTTTCTATAAGAAACATGAGTAGTCCACAGTGTAGAGCAATTTCGGGGATTCAGTACAAACTTTGAACGACTATCAAATAGTGCATTCTATAGACCTATCTAAGGTGCAATTTCTGACAAATATTCAGAGATAGTCACCTCTTCTATAACTAGTAGAATTCAATACACTAAAACTATGATTTCCAATTTTTGATGAAAATAGCAGCAAAGCTAATAATGCATGACAAGCTCTATAACAATGTATATATGAAATACTTTTACGAAGTCGTTCGATTAACAAAATGAATGAACATTGATTAGCTAGTTTGCATCATTTTGGGTCCTGACCTATGTTCAATAAGTTCAACAGAACTCTCCCAAAACGTATTGAAAAATGGATTTCCTACATACGATTCGATGCGTCTTGACAAGTTCTACGTGATGGTACGTATACTTGGTTTGTCAACTCAGAGTAGGTCACCAAACTCGACAGGGCCCTTCAAAATATTCCCAAAAACAGCTAGGAAGAATTGAAATGTCAGTGTTAAAATTTTAATTTTTCCTAGCCTTTTCAAAAATATTTTAAATTTTGCTCAATTTTAATTTGTCCTGCGACATGAATATGTGCAGAACTCAACTTTCGAGCGAGAAATAAGATGGTCGTCAATGAAGGCTTGCGTTGTGGAAAATAGGATCTAAAATTTGGCTGAGACTAAATGCGACATAAGCATATTTTAAAAAGCTCCATTAAGACTTTTTAACTGGTCTCCCTGGCTATACAGAAATACCCAGTTATTACTCTCTCATTTTAGAAATAGAATGTGAAGTAAACACGCCCTGTTATGCTACTGATGTTAAATACTTCAAATCCAGTTTTAGAACGAGGCCTAGAGTGAAGAAGCAAATTTAAGCTACTTTCTTCTAGAAACTTTTGCATTCGCCATTCGGTTATATGAAATTACTTTCGAAACTGAGTATAATTCTCTGTATTGAGTTCGACAGTCATTGAACATGTGCTGTTGATCGCGCTAGAACGACTTGAGTTTTGTTGTTGATTGTAACAGTTCTTAGGAAAAGATTCCATAGCAATGAATCCTGTAAGTCGGCCTTGCACCACCAAGCTGGCAACGATAGTGACAGTATGAAGTACTACTAGACATATAGCAACAAACATGCTGAAGAGATGTTTTCTGTCAATAAATGGATACTACAATGAAGTTAGAGAGATTAATACACAGAATCTTTGTTTGACAGGTACTTACTAAACGAAAAATAGCAATGCCAGTCGTATTGTCACTATCATCATCATCATCATCATCCCCGTCATCAGTGCCATCTTCGTTTTCTTTCTTATAAGCATCCACTACATTCTTCAGAAGAGAGTATTTGCCCCAATTAAAAGCACTAGCGAAGATCGAATTTGCAATTATTGTAGGCGTCTTCGTTTAAATTTAACATACCTATTACTTGTAGTTTTTTTGTCCTCTTCATTTTTGTCATCTGAAGATTTGTTTGATGCGCCTAACAGCAAATCTCGTTCACTCATCTACTATATTTTTCGCTCACGGTTAAGCTACAAGGAAATACAGATGTATAGGTAGTTGTAAATTATGCGACCATCCACAACCACTCAACTTTTTGAGATTGTACGGTGGTGTTTCCTACAGCCACTCACAATCTGGTAAGTTATGTTCACAACCACGCACAGAATTACAAAATATGTGTTTTTCCTAATACAAATGGTGTGCTCCCGTCGAGTGGTAAGGATCTGAAATGAGCATCAGTTTATTCTACCAAAGCGGAGAAAAGTCTCGGTATTCGCTTCAACGATATCTATACAGACTCGTAAGCTCGACTGAGTACAAACGTTAGTAGGACCAGTAAAAAAATGAGTCTGGGTGAGGGTGAAAACCTGGGTGGATATGTTTATGCTAGATGAACACTTTAAAAAAATCGCAGAATATTAAATCCTTTTAGGGATTTAGTAGCGTTATAAGTTATAGGAAGGGTATTTTTATACGTTGCACTTTCATATATCTTCAAAAGGTTTATTAACTTCATAAACCCTCGAAAACCGCTTTTCTTTCCTATCATTCTCCTTAGGGTACATTGATAAATCTTGTAAGGGTATATTAATGCTTATCTACGCTAAGGGGTTTACGAAAGTGCAACGTATAAGAATCCCTTACGAAGTTTATGAAAAGCAGGGCTCATTAGAGGGTACATTATGTTCAATAAACCTAAAAAGGGTTCATGTAGCGACGGTCAATTCTTTTCAACGGTTCATAATTCGACGCTTTTATACAGTGAAAACTGAATTTGATAGTTGATGGGTGTTAATGTTATTCTGCATGTTGCTGAAACGAATGCGCACACTTTTCTGCACTTTGGCAGAGTAAACTGAGACCCATTGCACATCGATCCAGATTCTCATTCGGATCCTTACCACTTGGCGGGAGCACACCATTTGTGTTAGGAAAAATGCAGCGTGGGTTATCAATAGCCCGGAATTAGTTCCTAAAAAAAGGCCCAGTTTTAGAAGATTCATTTTTATATTAATTTTAGCCGAAGCCATCGTAAAAATGAGTTTTTTAAAACTGGGACTTTCTCCAGGGACTGATTTCTGGACTGCAGTTTCTGGCAAATGATAGTCATTCAAATGCAGATTTTTTAATTCTGTGGGTGGTCGTGTTTCGTGTAGTGTTTATGGGCGATTTATTATCTTGATGTTCTTTATACAGTGGGTGAGTGTGGATCTCTATGAACGTAGCTCAGGGAACTGTGGGTGATTGTGGTGATTGCATAAATTACAACCACCCTAGATGTATGCGCAATGGTTATTAAAATGAAACGCTAGTGCTTGGTTAACCCTTTGAGATTGGATTCTTTTCGATGTGTGTGTTTTAAGTTGGTGGATGTTTACAAAATCACAAAAAAGCGACGAAGGAGAAAATAAAACATAGACGAAAAATGTATAACATAGAAAAAACGATGTTTTTATTAGGCCCTATAAAAATTTCCGTAGTTTTCAAAACAAAGCAAACATATGCACAAAGTCATTGGAAATCTGCCTGTATACTAGTAAGAATGTCCTTTTTCTCGGAAACCAGACTTAATCTGGACTAAAAAGCAGTAGCGGACCGGGATTCCATGCTATTAGAAATTTTACTATCCCGGCGAGGGGAGCAGATAGAATTTATAAGAGGTAGTATTAGAGATAAGTGATAAGTTTTATGAAGAAATTTTCGCAAAGCACGTTTCGACGAAAAAGTTAAGCATTTCTTCTTCTGAATGGCACTTCGGTTTTTGGAATCTTGTATCTATTTTTGAAAACTGACGTATCAAGAAACTATCTATAGCTAATTGAACAGAACATGGTAGAGGCCTGATGTTTTTATCGTCACATGACTTCGTGACGAGACATCATATCAGGCGAAAAGAGAATTGCTGTGCAGGATCCATACTTAAGATCGTTTAATGCAGAAGATATGCTGAGTGGTTACATTAGCGTTCGAAAGAAATGAAGCTTATTTTTATTACATAGATAATTAGGGCTCAAGTCTGAGTAGTTTCCGCTATTTTACTTTCCATTGGTTCTCAGTTAATATTTCTTCATCTTGAGGTACTCGCCACCAGAACTCCGCCGAGTGTGGGACAAATCCCATCACATCTACAAATTGAGCATATGCTAATAGATAGATAGCTTGCAGCTCGTTTACTCGACGAGTAGCATTCAGGCTAATTCCTACCGATGTCCCAATCGGATCGGCTTCGATCATTTCCGATCTCGGTCAGATTTGGATGGCATCTCGATAGCCTGGAACGAAGTTCGAGGTCCCTTAGCATCAAAGTCTTCGTTACTTTAATTTACAGTTGGCAGAGTCGACTTTTAAACAAATCGATACTTTTCAGATCAACTTCATTTGGACTAAAACCCACCAAATACTCACCGAGATCATTGACCAGGGAGCGGTTCCAACTGTCCAATTCCTTCTGAGCCAATATGTTGTCCATCGGTAGGAGGTTATAACAGTAAAATAATCCTAAAAGAATTTGGGTCGCTATGCCTGTGGAATCGAGTTATGGTGCTTTTACTGAATTTTCGGTGAATCTTTCGATATTGAGGAAAATATAAAACTACGAAGTTTCGACTTGACATATTCCTGGTAGATAGTTCTATTTATAGTTGGAGTACCCTGAAAACTTCAGCCCAAAAATTTGTTCCTTTGTCGAAATATTGCATTGTAAAAAAGATTCGCGTAGCAGTGACAAGATCAAAAGGGCAATGTACTTAAAACTGTAATACCGAGTTGGCCAAAAAGTTCTGTAACGCTTGCGAAAAGGTGATTTCTATGCGTAAATTTATATAAAAACAATAACAACTACTCTTCAAAATAGAGGCCATCATTTTCAACAATTTTTTGCCACCGATCTGCAAGCACGCGGATTTGAGTGAAGTACCATTCTGCCGGCTTCGAATCGAAGAACTCCTGGCACGCTTCCTCAAAGTGATCAAATGGCTGGAATCGGCGACCAGGCAAAAAGTCCCTCATTGATCGAAGGAGGCCTTAATCGGATGGCGCAGCATCAGGGCTGTAGAATGGATGCAGTAGGACCTCCACTTCCTCCAGTTCGTCGAAGAACGGGGGCGCTTAAGACCTGAAATCGACCCCCTCTAAAAATTTACGAAATTCATCCCTAACTGTCAAGTTCCATCTGCTGAGCTCGAAAATTTGCACAGATGTGGCTATTTGGTAGTCTGGATCGCAATCAGCTTTCGTGTTCTAAGGAGCCTCCAAGGGGTCGAAAATCATGAAAAAGACGGTTTTTGGCCAACTCAATATTACAGTTTAAAGTACACTGCCCTTTTGATCTTGTCACTGCTACGCGAATCCTTTTTACAATGCAATATTTCGACAAAGGAACACATTTTTCGGCTGAAGTTTTCAGGGTACTCCAACTATAAATAGAACTATCTACCAGGAATATGTCAAGTCGAAACTTCGTAGTTTTATATTTTCCTCAATATCGAAAGATTCACCGAAAATTCAGTAAAAGCACCATAACTCGATTCCACAAACATAGCGGCCCAAATTCTTTTAGGATTATTTTACTGTTATAACCTCCTACCGATGGACAACATATCGGCTCAGAAGGAATTAGACAGTTGGAACCGCTCTCTCGTGAGTCGCGCGATGAGCGAGCGAAATACTCTCGATTTCGACTGGCACATTTTTATTATTCCTTTATGTGACGAAAACTGCATGTTGTTGACCACTCAACATTTTGCTATCGAAAAATATTTTGCGATGGTAGTGTTAGTTCAGCACGCTCAAGTGCGAAAATGAATAATTTAGATTGGACAAAGAACAAAATGAAGCGAAGCGAGATGACTCTTTCGTTGTCCCACGGAGCTCTACTCTCCACCCAGGTTTCGAAAGACACCTGTTGTCGCCGAGCTTTCATATATTTAGATAAACCGATAGGGTTTGATGTACTAACTATGAATATCACTTCACTTTTAAAAGGCGACCATAGAATAGGAAAATTGCAAGGCAGAGTATTTTTCAAAGAGAAGACCGACAGGCTTCGATCCCCTAGAGTCATAGAATCACGGAGTGTGCTGTTTTCTTCTTGCAGTTGAACGGCAAATATTTTGAAATGCCTCCTAAGAGATTCATTTACTATGGGACATGTGCTATAAGCGACAAATATTGAGTGGTGGAAAGGAAGCGAGCCAAGCATAATTTATTTGTCCAGTTTTTAGCATTGTTAATGTTTTTAGCAAAAGATCTGCCATCAAAGCCTCGATGAAACAGATTATCAATGAATTTTCACCAAACTCGCCGTGGCCCATTTCGCATTATCCGCTCCCGGCGCTTATGGAAGTGAATCTGAGAATTACGATAAATAAGGTTCGGTACTCTGGAAAAATGACCTGTGGGTTTTACATATTTAAGATGAATTGCATATCAGATTTTCAAATATCTGTCAAAGTAAAAAAACTTACAGAGGATTCAATATTTATAGTTAAATTAAGTAATATGTATTGGAGTTATAGTCTATCATAAATGGAAACATAGAGTACGAGTGCTGTCCGCTCTTCACTCTCAAAGTTAGCATAATATTTGAGATAAAAGTTTCAAGTAGGATTTTCTTTTGAAAATTGAAATCGAACGTTCTTCACAGTCTTTGATTGTCCATTGTGAATAAGTACTCAGAAATCTTTTAGATAAAACTAGGATGAAAACGTATTTGGTTCAGTTTCAATTCGCAGTAACTAGTTTTCTTCATATTATTTCTATTTATAATAACTGTTATAAGTTCTAAATTGTAGAGAACTTTAGAGGATCATTAAGATGGGTATTGGCAACCTCGTTAAGAAGCCATTGTCTGCGAATGCAACTGAAAATGATCAAGTACATATTAGCAAAAAAAAGTATGATCTTCATAGCAGGAATTCTGAACGTCGCATAGTCATTCTTGGCTTTGGAAGCGTAGGCCGATGTTGTCTACCACTCATTCGTGAACTACTAGTTGATGACTATGCTCCTCGATCGATCACTATTCTGGATCGTGTAATGCCGTTGGCCACTGTTGTTGCCAAGTTAAAAGCCGCCAATATAAATTTTGAGCAAAAATGTATTAAGAAAGATAATTACGAAGAGATTTTAGGCACTTATTTGAATGCAGGTGATCTTCTCGTAGATCTTATTATTAATGTAAGTACGGCAGCAATTGTAAAATGGTGTCAGGAAAATCAGGTTCTATACGTGAACACAACAGCTGATATTTGGTTTTCCCAAGAGGATGAGGATCAGGAGGATTATGGAGCGCATCCCTTTAATCAATTTGAGTTTCATGAGACAGTAGTGGAAATACAGAATCAATTTCGAATGCAAAATGGAACAAAAGCACCAACTGCCATTGTGGAGCACGGTGCAAATCCAGGTCTCGTTTCCCATTTTGTCAAGCGAGGATTGCAAGATATGGCTCATCATGTATTAGAGAACTGCATGATCAGTGATGTGATTCGGAGACAAAATATTACAGATGCATTGAATAGGAAGGATCACGCACAGCTTGCATACTTACTCGGTGTTAAAGCAATACATATTTCTGAAAGAGACTCGCAAGCAACGAATGTACCGCGCAGAATACACGAAAGTGTTAACACTTGGTCTGTGGAAGGCTTGCTCGACGAAGCATTTTGTTTTGCCCAATTTGCTTGGGGCAATCATGAACAAAAAATACCTGAAGGAGCTATACTCAATGGTGATCCGATACAAAAATGGCCACCCCAAAGAATTTCTATACCAAAAAGATCTCTCGGTGTTTTGGTAAGTAACGGCGGAGTCATATTAAATGACTTTAATATAAGGTGTCGAGTATAAAACACTGAAAGAGAGAAAATAAAAAATCGCGAATCCATTCAGCGTTGGACGATTCAAGCTTTTCCTTCCCTTGAGGTCGACTCTTTCAAAGGGAAATTTTAACATTTAAAAACACCATTCCTTTAAAGCACCAAAATATGGTAGAAGCTAAGCAGGAGAGAAAAATTCAATCCAAAAAAGTATTTTTCTGTGCTCAAAAGGCGAGCACATTATAGAACTACCCAATGTGTTCAGCTGTTCACACGAGAACGCAGGAAAGGCTGATCCGATCGCCATAGAATTTTCTAGAGTACTATCTGATGAATACCACCCTCTAGTTTGGAGATAAATGAACTTCGTCATGAATTTATCCCAGATTATTGTGGCCTGGTCGGTTCCGACCGGAGTCCGGCGGCAAGAAATTTGCCAAATCCGATTGAAACCTGTTGAATTCGGCTGGAATCAACTGAAACTATACTGAAGCCGACTCAGGTTTAAACTGATCCAGTCACCGGAATGATCGACCTAGGATCAAGTTACAGAAAGGAACATTACATCTTTTGAGACGCAGGCAGCACTCGAATTTGAATTCGCTGTTTTTTTTTACACTTTTATCTCTTTACAAAGTCATATACATACTCCTATTGGTTAAATGACTCATGTCTGAGTTACAGTTCGAACTTGAACAGTATTCGATTCATTTGTTGTATGGATTAGAAGTAGAATATTTTGCTTCATTTGAAAAAAAAATGAAGTATTAAAACTATGACCGCATTTTTTATACTTCTTTCCCCGATCAATAGCACTAATCCTAGCGAACAATATTTCGAATTGAATTCATCACGTTTATGCCTATTTTCAACATGTGAAACCGATGCTAAGATGTTGCTTTCATTGTTGAGGATGTAGCTGAAGCTTTTTTTCTCTTTATATACACATATCTTACTCATCTAAGGCTAGATAATTGTTCGTACGTCGCAGATGTCTATTCATTCGACTACATTCATTCACCCTTTTGTTTCCAATCTTTCCTATGCGATGTTTTCCACGCTTGTCCTCGTTCTGTTATGATTCGACGCTTTCATACTTTCGAAGTCTATCGTTTGTATCATATTAAATTTTTTTATTTTACTTTATAACCTAATTTACTAATGACGGTAGGTTCGTTCTTGGGTGCCAAGTGGGCCTATTTCTGGTATGCTTATTCCTCATCCGGAACCATTTAGCATGGCTAATTATTTGACAGTTCGCGATCCTTCGGATGAATTAATCTATCAACCATCGGTCTATTTTGTGTATTTACCGTGCGACTCTGCAATTTGCTCACTTCATGAATGGCGTATGCAAGGTTATCCAAATATAACTTCTGAGCGTGTTTTATCTGATGACATTGTATTGGGAGCGGATGAATTGGGCGTATTAATTTTAGGCGGACATGATATTCCTGCTTGGTGGACTGGTAGTGTTCTCGACATTGAAGAAACTCGTCGTCTCGTGAAAGGTCATTCGGCAACAACGTTACAAGTAGCTATCAGCGTCGTGGTCGGAATCATCTATAGCTTTGAACATCCTGAGGAGGGTATTCGCTTTCCAGAAGAGATCAATAGTGAAGAAATTCTCACTAGGGCCATCCCATTTCTTGGCACTTGGGTATCCAAACCTGTCGATTGGCCTACCAAATCAACGTTTCAGGAAGATGCCAGTGGAAAGGATAGGATTGAAACTAATGATGAAGGCAAAGATCAAGACTCAAAGTGGCAATTTGAAACATTTCTGGTACATAATGACTATCGTCATCTAGTTTAAAGTATTTCTATTTTCTTTTCTTGCTCACTATTAAATATTTACGATCTTTGTGATTATCTTCATTATTTAATTAAGAGACAGTCCATGAGAATACCGAGCATTTTCCAATATAGCCATAGTCTCAAAAGCTTTGACCGCCTCCCCCTTTTTTTATGATCGCAAATGAAAGAGCATGACGAAAATTTAATACACCCAAATTTTCAGTCCATTTGGACGTACTCTTGAAGAGTTATGAACCTCACACTGGACATTTCGGCGTTATTTTTGAGGGTGTGAGTAGAAACTGCTATGGCCGGTTTCGAACCTATTAGAGCTCGTTATCGAATGGCTCAACTCTAAATCTTGATTCATATCATTATTTCAATATAAAAACATCAAAATAACAAAATTTAATCAAAATCAGTTGAGATTATGAGAAAATCGTGATACAGATTATATTTACTATATAGCTGATGTTGAGTGAAAATGTAGATTAAATGTGGTTGTGCGTGAAATAGTATATGTTGCAGTTATTGATTGTTTCATGATTCCATTGGATTGCAGATTGCAGGATTTGTGTGTTGATGAATATTATCACTGGTATTTGATGGACATTATTTGACTGATAGATAGTTCTTTTTAATCCATGTTATTTTCGCAAGGTGAGTGATATATACAGAAGTAAGAGAAACTTATGATGGGATAGGCTCGTCTTGATTTAGTATTAAATATGGCTACGAGCTTTGAAGGAATCCAATGAAAGAAGTTGTATTTAGATAAAAGTTCAGGTGTATTTTGAGTTTTGAAGTTATTTCTACGAATCGGTTGTTCATTGTCTATGATTGATGATCTGTTGGATTGAAAGATGTTGATAAACGGAATTGTTTCATATAATTGGCACGTTCAATCATATGTTGTCGACGTTGTTCGATAGTTTGCTTGATTCACACGTTTCTAATATTGAGGTGTGGTTTGCATATATTTGTTTTGTACGAAAAACTTTTTCTGCTCTTTTTGTATAGTTGTTTGGATTTGTTCAAGTTCTTTTGGATGGATAAAGATAGCTTCTTGAATAACATGTTTCTCTAAAGTTAGCAGTGTTTCGATTGTATTCGATGAAGTATAAGTTGTTGTGTATTGTGTCGATGGATCATTGAGTTTTTGAATATTTGTATCAATATTATTTATGATTTTATGTAGTAAACTAGATGTTGCTTTTAATGTTGTTAATAGAAGACTATGTTGTAACAAAGCAATATATTCTTCTATTATCAGTTAATCTTTTGTTGCTTTCTATATATGTCTTGCCCATGTGATCTGTAACAAATTCAAATAAGAGAGAAATATGATTCTATCAGACTGAATATTATAGTTGATGTGCTCACCTGTCTACTGTTTGGTTCAATATCAAAGAAATTTTGAAATAATTGATGGTCAGTTGCATTCAAAAGTAACATTTTTCTTTGAAATTCGAATTTATCCTTTACAACTTGTTGTTTTTCTTGTATTAATTGATAAATAATTGTGTTTAATTGTTTCATTACTGTTAGATCTGTTTTGTTTCTATAGATGTTTATTGTGATACTTAATAAGCTTCAAATCACACTTTTGGTTCTCTTTTTAATAAGAAATGTGACGCGTTTCTATAAGACTAGGAAGACTGGTAAACGTCCATGATAGTATGAGAGATAGAGAACACATAATGAAAATATACTATGACATCATGCAGAACGAAAAGAATATATAGGATAATTCCTTATGGAATATCATAGGAAATATTCCATAACAATTACACTTAAACAACCATGATTCTGTTCACATTCTGATAAGATCTTTTGTTCAAACTGTGTAATGGCATTTTGTGCTTGTTTTGAATGTTTTTCGATTAATCTGATACGTTCTTCAATCGCAGATTTCGATCTACCATATGTATGACATATTGAATACTTTTCAGCAGATGGTTTAGACATACGACCATCTCAAATGCCTTGTGTCAAACCAATATGAAGATAATATTTCCATTGAATTTGTTTGAGTTGTTGAAAACAAACTTGATCAATTAAACTAATATATTGACGAATAATTTGGATCTTTTTATCTGTACTAAACGAATCATTAAACTTTTGTGAAAGATTGAAAGCTGGAGCTGTTCTTTGATATAATATCTCATTAGATATAATAGTATAATCCGCTGAATCATTTTTCATAGATTCGAATTGATCCACTTGATTAATATGATTTTTATTGATAAAACTGGATTGTTTATTCCTATTGCATTTCTTCTTTTTTGTTATTTTATGCTGAATTGATTTGACAGAAAGAGAAGTTGCTTGATTAATACTTAAAACAATTATTGTTTGTTCATTTTGTTGAATGTTTTCTTGTACTGCTGATGCTTCTGTATTAACTGATGTTTTCATACCTCGCTGACGCAGTTTTCGGCGATATCGTTGTAATTTACGATTTCCATGACATTTCTTCCTTTTCTTTTCATCTTGTTCTTGAGCACGTTCTGATTCTTGTGCTATAGTTTGTTTATGCTGATTACCCAGATCATTCTCACTCGGTCGGAACCAGCTGATTTCTTTAAATTCCTTGGCGCTGGATTCCGGCCGGATTTTTACTGGTTTTTATCGGAAAAATCCTATAGGTTCCAGACGGAAACGATGATAGTTCTGAACCAACTGGGTCCGGCTATAAAAGTATATTTTCGCTAATATCACAGGGTCCTGACTGAATCGAAGTCGGAATCTCATACGCATTATTGTTCGATCTGGGTAAAACTGTTTCCTCTTCTTATAATGCGGATTATATACCCAGATCGAACAATCCGGTCTGGAACCGACCCGATCCTACGTCTTTCAGTCCCTTCGCGGAGAAAGTACCGCAGTGCAGGAATCTGCTGAACAGACTAGGCAGCTTTCCATAGGAACCGACAAAAAACTGTCATATCCGATAGACCAGAATGTTGCCCCGCTCTTTCAATTACATGTCTAGCATTTTCTGACTACTCTCTGCAGGTGCTGCGTCAGAAATGGACGGAAGATTACCTCCAAAATCATCATCCTAGAATCCAACTCTTTGGATAATTTGAACATCTTTTTTCGCTGTCTTTTTAGTCCAGATCTACGAGAAATTACAAGAATCGTTCCCAAAGGAACCTATGAAATTCACAGTAACAAGAGCCTGACGTGAAAAAACATAAAAGTATAAGCAACTTCATACACAACATTACTTACTTTCAACGGCAATAATGAGTTAAAATTCTCAGCAAGTACACGAATAACAGGTGAAACGAAAAACGGCTAAAGCTAGTTTTTCCTATACTGTTTGTTCACTTTCTGTGTGTGACATATCATTAGAAAGAGCATAACAAACTGCGCCGCATGGACTATTCAAACGAGTGCTTCTTGTTGAAAAGGCGTATTGACTAAGATCCATACATCCTAATTACATGTACCCTCTCGCATTGTCTTGCTTGTGCCTTGAAAGGACAAGGAACAGCAGCTTTGTCAAATCTAGATTTGTGAAGCATTGAATTTTCTATGAAGCTGACATACTTTAAATCTAAAGTTGATCAAATTTAACCGGAATACACATCTGTTTGGTTATCATTATCCGATAAAGAAAAGCTCTTTATAGTCTTCACAATAATCCAGATTTGAACATTATCAGATAAAGTTACATAGAATGAGAGCTCTCATATCATTCACTCTACATTGTTGAGTCAATCGGATTAAACACAAACAAAACATTAAAATGTCTAGTTTTTCAATAGTTTTCGTACTCACTGACTTTCATAGTTCAACAAAGAATCGAGATTTCTGTTAATGCCTATCCGTAGCTAGCACAATAACCAAAGAACCGGATTAGGCACGCGTTCGACCAATACATTCGATCCACGGAATACCCAAAATTATTGAAATAGCTAACACTTTAGCATCTTGGTTTCCAGTGCGAATTTACTGATCTTTCGCTTCATAATATTTACACCTATGTGGTAGACTCAACCCATTCAAATTGTAAGAATGCCTCAACGATTTATAAACCAAACGAACCTTGTCAATGTCATCTTGACGGTAAAACTCAACTCAATACGTTTCAGTTGTGAATCAACTATCTTATGATTCACAATGAGGATAGACAATTACCCAAGCGTAGTTGACAAGAGAGACGTTCTCATAGAACTAATAATAAGTTTCCTAGGCAGACATATCGCATTTTGATTCCGAAGTACTGTGAAGTACTTTAGAGACTTGTACATGTCCACCAGATGGAGGTATCTCCTATGCGTTGGAAAGCATTTTGAGAGGATTAGCTAGTCATATGGTTATTGAAGTGGAAGTATGTTGAAGTGCTTTAGCGAGGTGCGGGTACTACACAGAGAAGGATATCATTCGACCGGAAGTCGGCTGATGGTGTCTCAGAAATGGAGTTTAGGTATGGAGCTTGGGTCTCTGTTGCTGGAATATAATGGAAAATGGTAGATGCGATGGCAGAGTAGCCGGAATGTGATTGAGAAGGATGAATCTCATGTGACAGATGCCGGAATTGGTCGAATTGTGACGGAAGTGATGGTCGGTATATTTCGGAGGTCCCAGTTGTCGGAAGTTGGGGTGGAAAGTCAGATACGGTATGCGGATGTCGACTGATGTTGTGGGAGCCGGCTGTATGGGGTTCGGACTAATTTCACCGACAGGAGGTTGGTGAGTTGGCATGTTTTCCACTGAAAATGTTTGTCGGAAGGTATAGGAAAAGTTTCGCAAGTTTTCTTGTCAGGGCCCGCCTTTCGGAAATGCACAAGAACAGGGTGAATCCAGGCAGAGGGTACGGCCGGAACACGTAGCAAGTAGTCATTTATGATTGTAGGAGGATCCGCTGGCAGGAGTGCGACATAATGATAGTGACTCCGATCGAAGGGAATGATTGGAAGGGATCGGAAAGCTCCGTTGCTTTCCGACACGGAGCCGGCTGGTTACTATGGGTTTCCGGTGTTTTCCGTCTCGATTCCACTCTGGTTCCAGTGGTTGGAACGATCGACCTGGGCCTGTAAATAAGACAGTTTTTCTATACATGATTGGCCTTGAATGGATATATTTGAGAGGCTGAACGAAAATTGCGTTTGTAAAAATAAATATAAATCCATTGAGCTATATGACCATTGGCATATTCACTTGCCACCCAATGAGAAGAGCAACGAATAATCGATGCAGTAGTTAGTGATAGAAAAGTTTTACGAGATACGACACGTATTATGTACTTCGTGTAGTATTAAAATGACTGTTTTTTTAATACTAGACCATGTTTATTAGACTGACTACTGCTTGCCTCCACATTTGTGACGATGTGTTTACTACATACGAGAAGAGAAGGGAAGAACCTTGGTAATGGGAGGGAGGCGCTTTCATATGTATTTGAATCAAATACTGTGGTGCAGTTGTCGTCTCTGAAGTTTACGCTCTTCCCGAAGCTGATTTAGCATCGTTGTTGGTATGTAACGTTGGCGAGACGTTTGAGCATTGTTGATAGTAACTGACTTTTGAAAAGCTAGTTGAAAAATAATATAGGTTCCATTTGCATCGTCACGCTGGTAGCGTTGATCGATGATCGACTTCGAGTGATCAGCTTGTTTCGTTAGAGAATATAAAACGATGTTGATATTTAATATTTTTCGCCAAGGACAAATTGTATGTGTGTGTGTCTATCATATTACTTTTTCTTCGTGTGCGTGTGTTAAAATCGAATGCAACCTTCGTGTTGTCTACCTTGGTCGATTCTCCTTCGAATACATGTAGAGAAAAAAAAATACAGGTATGCACGTATAGATATATCTTTGACGTCAATATCCAATGATTGGAATGGACACAGATCAATAATCACCTCTGTTTCTCGTCATCTATTAACTTTTGTATACGATAAAATATTTGATGAAAAGTGCTCCAAAAGGTGAGAAAGGAGTAGAGAAACGAAAGAACTGCTAAATCACGGCTTATTTTTATGGCCTTTTCATCCACAAAATAAAATAATATCTGGTAGTTACAAGTGTATATGCTGATCTCATTTCAGAGTTATGTGTTTTGAGTCAATAGAGTAAAAAGTAACGAATGACGAAAGACATCTGTTACCATATGGTTGGTTCTTTCTGTGTGCTTAAAAGAAAGTCGATACGGTCACATGAAACAACATCCCGCTTGTCAAGTTTTGAAAATAAAATTTTTTGGTACAGAACACTTGAATGCGCTTCTAAATGTACTTTTTCACGTTGACGGTGAATCTGTCTTCGTTTTCGTAGAAGAAGCATATTTCGAACTTTCTAAGCGAGAAAATCTTTCAAAAAGCGCAACTAATCTATCTAAAAACTTTGTTTTGAGTAGGCTGATATAGTAGGTTCTAGCCATTTCAGTTTATGACCGTTTTTCATTGGCACGTCGTGCGTTAAGATGGGAAATGTAAACAAATTCTAAGATAGAAACCAGATTAGTTTATCAAGGAGGGCACTCTCTCATAAGGTGGTTTCATTGTTCGAAATATGGTGTCACTGATTCCCTTCTTTCATTTTNATTTTGAGAGGATTAGCTAGTCATATGGTTATTGAAGTGGAAGTATGTTGAGGTGCTTTAGAGAGGTGCGGGTACTACACAGAGAAGGATATCATTCGATAGGAAGTCGGCTGATGGTGTCCCAGAAATGGAGTTTAGGTATGGAGCTTGGGTCTCTGTTGCTGGAATATAATGGAAAATGGTGGATGCGATGGCAGAGTAGTCGGAATGTGATTGAGAAGGATGAATCTCATGTAAAAGATGCCGGAATTGGTCGAATTGTGACGGAAGTGATGGTCGGTATATTTCGGAGGTCCCAGTTGTCGGAAGTTGGGGTAGAAAGTCGGATACGGTATGCGGATGTCGACTGATGTTGTGGGAGCCGGCTATATGGGGTTCCGACTAATTTCACCGGCAGGAGGTTGGTGAATTGGCATGTTTCCCACTGAAGATGCTTGTCGGAAGGTATAGGAAAAGTTTCGCAAGTTTTCTTGTCAGGACCCGCCTTTCGGAAATGCATAGGAACAGGGTGAATCCGGGCAAAGGGTACGGCCGGAACATGTGGCAAGTAGTCATTTATGATTGTAGGAGGATCCGCTGGCAGGAGTGCGACATAATGATAGCGACTCCGATCGAAGGGAATGATTGGAAGGGATCGGAAAGCTCCGTTGCTTTCCGACACGGGGCCGGCTGGTTACTATGGGTTTCCGTCTCGGTTCCACTCTGGTTCCGGTGGTTGGAACGATCGACCTGGGCCTGTAAATAAGACAGTTTTCGTAAAGATGATTGGCCTTGAGCGAATATAATTGAGAGGTTCAACGAAAATTGCGTTTGTAAAAATGACTATAAATCCATTGAGCTATATGATCATTGGCATATTCACTTGCCACCCAATGGGAAGAGTAACGAATAATAGATGCAGTAGCTAGTGATTGCACAGTTTTACGAGATACGACACGCATTATGTACTTCGTGTAGTATTAAAATGACTGTTTTTTATACTGGGCCATGTTTATTAGACTGACTACTGCATGCCTCCACATTTGTGACCATGTGTTTACTACATACGAGAAGAGAAGAGCCTTGGCAATGGTAGAGAGGCGCTTTCATATGTATTTGAATCAAATACTGTGGCGCAGTTGTCGTCTCGGAAGTTTACACTCTTCCCGAAGCAGATTTAGCATCGTTGTTGGTATTTAACGTTGGCGAGACGTTTGAGCATTGTTGCTATTAACTGACTCTTGAAGAGCTAATTGAAAAATAATATACGATCCATTTGCATCGTTATGCTGGTAGCGTTGATCAATGATCGACTTCGAGTGATCAGCTTGTTTTGTTAGAGAATATAAAACGATGTTCATCTTTAATATTTTTCGCCAAGGGCAAATTTTTTTTGTGTATCTATCGTATTAGTTTTTCTTCGTGTGCGTGTGTTAAAATCGAATGCAGCCTTCGTATTGTCTACCTTAGTCGATTCTCCTTCGAATACATGTAGAGAAAAAAAATACAAGTATGCATGTATAGATATATCTTTGACGTCAACGTCCACTGATTGGAATGGACACAGATCAATAATCACCTCGGTTTCTCGTCATCTCTTAACTTTGGTTTAC